CATTTTGCGTGCTTGCATGAATCATGAAACTTGCATTTTTTTTCTCTCATCCTTGTTTCCCTTTTTGTTCTCAGCGTGCCTTCGCCATTTCTTCCGTTTGTCTTTGAACCATCCTCGCCGGATCGGGGCTCCGGCTGGCGAGGGGGGGTGTTAGCGTCAAATCCGTGCTTCCACGCATTTGAACACTCCCACTGCTTTCGCACACACTCAGCATCGGTCGCTATGGGTCTTCCTATTGGTATTCCATAGCTACGACGACCTCACACATTGACACCTACTTTTGGACCCCCTGGGCTTGATCCTCCTCGTGGCAGTCACATGAGTAAACACCGCGTGTGACGCGGTCCCCACGATGCCTGGGCAGCTGCCCTGGGGCAATAAGCTTGTGGCTACTGTTGTTTCCCTTTGTTGTGACACCTGCGGTCGGGCACGAGTTGCACTTTCCCTATCCTCGGGATTGAGCGACTCTACAGCTATTCTAACGGTGCACCTGGTCTGGTCACTGTGAATGCTTGCCGACCGCAGGTACGTCAAGCCCTCTGCCATTCTGTCTTCCCCTTGCTCTCCTGTGTGCTCTGCTCTCTTGTGACTTTCCCTATCCTCGGGATTGAGCGACTCTACAGCTATTCTAACGGTGCACCTGGTCTGGTCACTGTGAATGCTTGCCGACCGCAGCTGGTTCAATTGACCTCAAGACACCACCAAAGCTTTCGCTCCGCTCCGACGGACGTCTCTCAAACCTCTCTCAAAACGCTTCCTCAAACCTACGCGCTTCCTCGCAACCCAAAGACGGCCTCCAGACGTGCTGGAGCCTGACAGCTTCTGGCTCGGTCGGATGTATTTATAATTTTTGAGGCGCTTGTGCTGTTGTTGGATCTGCCTTTGCTCAGGTTGAGCTTGAGCGTACGTGTGACTGACCTGTGCCGTGCTGTCGTATCAAGCACCCGAATTTTTCCGTCGTGCTGCCCTTGCCGTGCCGTCTGTTGTCTTCCGTCTCTTTTTGATTGCCCTCGCTTGGACGCTTTGCCTCCGAGCTTGACCAACAATGATAAATCGACATGAAACCTTTGAGAGCGAACTTGTCCCCGTCCGCCCTCGTTACGTGCCTTTGCGCGAGTCTCGCGCGCTTATCTACAGTCGAGTCGAGCTTTCAAATTTGTAATTAGACGTGGTAGGTCATGAAGCGCAAAGGTGTTATCCGATGCGAAACGATTCATTTCACGTCAAAGCTACTGGGCAATGTATAAGTAGTCAGAGCCATCAGATGCATGATCTTTGCCTCGTCAGGTTGAGTATTGAGATGTGTTCTTCGGCTAGACACTAGCAAAAGCATGCCATGGCTATGATATACGACCGACAATACAGTTCTCACATCCTCAGATGGCTGAAAGCGAGGCCATGCATTGCAGGTCTGAAACTTTTCACCAACACCAATAAATTCAAGGAAATTCAAGGAAAATTCGCATGAAATGACCTAAAAATTAAAAACAAAAGAGAGAGAGAGAGAGAGAGAGACACACACACACACACACACACACACACACACACACACACACACACACACACACACACACACACACACACACACACACACACACACACACACACACACACATACACGCACACACACACACACACACACACACACACACACACACACACACACATCTTGCTTTTTCACTGTTCAACGCACGACCGTGCACACACACACGCTCACGATGGCTCAGCTGTTTGGGTTCACGCGCGGCTTGGTGCTGGGCTACGCCTGTGGCTTTGGCGTCTACCTGCTGACGTCCAACCGTCTGCTACATGCCGTCAATGAAGCACACGTGCGTGCCTCGGGGCGAGTAGTGTGGTCCTCTGGTGTTTGGTTCAACTCATCTGTGTGTGCGCGCGTCTGTTCGCTTGTACGGTGGCTGAACAGGAACGCATGGTGACGTGCCACGAGTACCTGAGCGAGAGCGAGAAGACCACCACCCCGGCTTACGTGCATCGTGTATGTTTGATGGCGGCTCAATGATTATTCAAAGCCTTCAACAACTCATGTCTGCGTTCTTGCGTTTGGTTGGGATCGATGGGTTTCATCCCCGGTCAGGCACGAGAGGATTCGTACGACACGCTGGATGCAAAGCAGCGCTGGAACTCGACTGTGGAGAAGCTGCAGAATTTCATCGTGGCTGGCCAGGGTCTCGAGGTTTGTCCAGGAAGCGCAAACGCAGCATGAGACCATGTGGCCGGTTGCAGGCCTGTCATGTCTCACACCTGAACGCCGTGCAGGAGCGATTCGGTCTTGTTGAAAGAGCCCAAACGCTGACCGTTGAAGCTGCACGCGAGGTGTGCCCCCCCTTCGCATCATGTTGCTTTGAATCGATCATACCATCCAAGCGTTGTGTGCCCTCTTGTCAAAATGCAAAAGGGCACTTACGCATAGCCCAGACTCGAGGTCCAGCTACTCTCGCGCCTTCCTGGGCACCTCATCATGTGTCGCTCCCTTTTCCACAATGGTAGATTAAGCGTCTCGTCTACGAAGCAACCAACTAGTTGGCGACCCTCCTCTTGAGTGACTGACGCAGTCCTGTGTGGTGTCTTTACACATCACGAGCGCCGCGCGCTCAAACCCTTCTCAAACCCTGTTCCGTGTGCCTTGAAGATATCAGCTGCTCCCTTTCGAAAGCAAGAGGTCTCTGCACACGAGACACAACATCACATGGCACATGAGAGCCTTGGCCCCGACCCTGTCTACTTGGTCTTTCCCCTCATCGCTTAGTTCCTATCACACATGATCCGTGATTCATGTTCAAAAGTCTAGGGTGGTGTGCACAAACACCTGGAGTCGTTCCACTGGCCCAAAACTTGTAGAATTCAACTTTTTTTTTTTTCACTTTTCTATTGTTTACAACCAAACGAGACAACACCAGGCAAGGAAGCGACATGGAACAACCAGGATGGGATGGGGAAGTGCAGTAAGCAGTGCTTAGATCTTTTTATACTCAAGCTTGCTCTCGAGCTTCTTCGAGTCGGCCACTTTGCGCACGGCCTTCATAAAGTCCTCGCTCAATGTGTAGTCACGCTCCGCCCGCAGCGCAAACATGCCTAGGGAAGCAACGAAACCAAAGGGAGGCTTGAGTGCACCCACCAGACAGGAAATGGACAATACAGAACCGGGACGGGCTTTCCGTTGACTCCATCCCTCTGCGCCGTTTTGAGTGCACGCGACACCTCGCTCGCACACCGACAGGCGAGAGGCACGGCAAGACACCCAAACGCAAAACCATGTCAACGTGCCGGTACAAAGACTAACCGGCCTCGGTGCAGACGTTACGCAAGTCGGCACCGTTGAAGCCATCCGACAGTTTGACCACGGCTTCATAATCAATGTCGCCGGCCTTGGCAATGGGTTGCGCGTGGATCTTCAAAATGTCCAAGCGGGCCTGCTCGTTGGGCAGACCAATTTCTGGACAGAGCAACAAAAGAATCCAAACAACAACAAATGAGCTCAAGGCGTGTGCGCTTGTGTTACGAACAAGAGTCAGTGTTGCGTCCGAGGAGAAGAAGCCGTGCCAAACACATTGCGCCAAGCAAAGGCACGTCCAAACTGTTGCAAGCCATGGGCTCTCAGTCGGTGCAACGTACCAATCTTGCGGTCCAATCGACCGGGGCGCATCAGGGCCGGGTCAAGGGTGTCGGGGCGGTTGGTTGCCATAATCATCTTAACTTTGCCAAGCACGTCAAAGCCGTCCATTTGGTTCAACAACTACAAAGTCAGCCATCAAGCCGGTGGCATATGGGCAAAGTGAGCGCGCAGCCCACACACAATTCGCACGGAGAAACCATGTGGTACCAGTGGCATGTCAGGCCATCCACGCGCAGGAGCAATGTCAGGTTACGAAGCGGGACGCACCTCCATGAGAGTGCGCTGAATTTCACGATCTGCCGAAGTGCCTTCGGAAAAGCGGCGGCCACCGATAGCATCAATCTCGTCCATGAAAATAATGCAAGGCTCGTGGTCACGCGCATAGCCTACAGGAGCGAGCAAAGAAAAAATGAGAAGTTGGACGGCGCTTCCAAGAACAAGCCCGCGGGGTGGCAGGTGGCTTGCTAAGCAAGCCCCATCACGCAATGACTGACCAAACATCTCGCGGATGAGGCGGGCTGATTCACCAATGTACTTGTCAACAATGGCACTGGAGACGACCTTGAGGAAATTGGCATCGACATTGCTGGCAACGGCACGGGCCAGCAGAGTTTTGCCCGTACCGGGCGGTCCATAAAGAAGACAGCCCTTGGGGGGCTTGATTCCGATCCGGATGAAAAGCTCGGGGTTTTTGAGCGGAAGTTCAATGACCTGAAGTATGAAAAGAGGGGTTGGTGCCGGTAGAGTAAGCACGGAAAGGTTGCAAACCAGGTCCACGGGGGCATCAGGGACCAAACTTGAAACTTGAAGCAGGAGGGGTGCCTACCTCGCGAAGTTCGCGAAGCTGCTGGGACAGGCCACCAACGGACGAGTACGCGACGGCGCCCGGGTCTTCATGAGACATGTTGTAGACCATGGGGTCCACCTCACGAGGCAGAATGCGCATGATGGTCAAGGTGGTCATGTCCAGGGTAACGCGAGTCGTGGGCTTGAGCTTGGCGCGGTCAAGCTAGTATGCCCGACACGATAAGGGAGCAGATCAGTCAAGTGCAAGCATGTGGCAACGGCGAAGGCAAAGGGCAGCAAGAGGCGTGCATAGGCACGTCGGGTTCCAACAGACGCGTCAATGGCAAAGCAGGACAGAAAACATGACTTACACCACGGCGACAGGCGACGACGTAGCGGGGACCGCTCGAAGCCTTGACGATGACTGATGGGGGGGAAAACGAAGCAAAGCACGAGAAAGCATGGGGTGGATAGGGGCAGGGACGGTGAGTGAACGAGTAAGCAGACGTGACAAGATGGTCAGGTTCAAGGGTTGAGCAGCGTCCAACGTACATTTTTCCTCGGTCAGCTGCTTGAGGACCTCACCGATAATCTGCACAGGTGTTGACGGCAGAGTGAGGCCAATGAAACACGATGAATTTGGCTCACGGGCAGGGGATGCGGATAAGGGATATTCTGCAAGGGGAAAGGGCTAGGGGTAGCGACGAACCTGGCCTACGGATTGCAGGGCTTGCAGGTCATCCTCCGACTTTTCATACTTGGCACGCAAATCTTTGGCAGACTCGCGCTCTAACGCACAGTAGGCGGTTGTGAGGCAGGGTCAGGGTGCACCGAATGGGCGAGAGTGCGAGCTGGGGTGTAGACAGAAAGGAGCGAGCCCAACGTACTCTGTTTGAGGCGAGCCGAGAGTTGCTTGTGTTCGACCAGCTTGTGGCGATACTGGCGCAAGGCCTCTTCCTTGGACGCCATGGTGACTGGTACTACACAGCCCACGAGTCACGAGCAGGTTAGAATATGCCCCCCAACACACTCACTGTCATCCAGCTCAGCTAGCAAAAACGAGAGCCCACCACTTACCCCGTCTGTGCCCGTTGAGAGAGAGAGAGAGAGAGTAGAGAGGGAGGGGGTGCGAGAGCGAGCAACTGGTCGCTCTGATGGAGCTCTTGACTGCACAACAATTCGCGAGCTGCGCCTAGCACCACCAGCAATGCCGTCAGTTTAACCTCTTGCCACTCACAAATCCACTGGCCCAACACCTGGCCACGTCTTGCCAAGCAAAGAAAGCCATCTCCCTCGACCGCCACTGTCCCGCTGCCCTTTCACAGCCCCGTCGCCACTACTCACCCACGTCACCTAAAAATGCACAGAGAGAGAAGTCAGAGAGAGAGAGAGAGAGACAGCAAGAGAGAGAGAGACAGACAGAGAGAGAGAGAGACAGAGAGAGAGAGAGATTCGAGAGATTCGAGAGAGAGATTCAAGAGAGAGCCACTGAACAGCTCCTGCATTCTCTCTTTTGTTATTAGTGAAAACACACATCTAACACAAATCACACTTTAAGCATTTGTATGTGTGACCAAGTCACACATACAAATATCCAAGGTACAATAACAGTTGGTAATCTGACAAGCCGCGTAAGGTCACTGGCTTTGTCGTTGTCTGTGACCTGTCTCTGAACTCTTTGTGATGTTACGTGTGATAGCGCCAGTGGTGGATCACAGATGGATGCCATCTCTGACAGCTTTTCTTGGCTGACAACAAAGAGAGACGAACGGACGGACGTCAGTGACGGCAGAGGGCAAGGAGTTGCAACGGCAGCGCCCCTGGATTTAGGATCAGTGTTGGTAAGCAAGGCAACCTGCTCGTGCCTGTCATTGGTGCCGCTGGGTTCTACGCTTGGTCGTGGTCGCAGTTGGGGCAAGTTGGGCCGTCGCGTGTGACACGGAAGGCACAGTGTCAGTGTGTTTCGCTGCGCTGCAGGCTCATGGCTCGTCTTGTATCGCTTCCCCCGCCCCCGGCTCTGTGCGCTTTTCCCACAGGTGCAGACCTTCTCTGGGTTCTCAATTGGACCGATTGCCAGCACCCGCAATGTGAGGCGCACCGGCTAGAGCACCTTTGCGCTCGCATGCCCCTCTGCTCTTGCTTTTGGCCATTTCTCGGGCATAGCTGACGTGCCATTCTCACACTGCCTGCATGTGCCACACCCTTAGCATGCCTGTGATTCAGCTCAACTCAGATGCAGAGGTGGCACCGGCCCTGCAAGCTTGCGGCGAGGACTTGGTCGTCATTGACTTTTTCGCCACCTGGTGTGGACCGTGCCAGCGTATTGCCCCGGCGGTGGAGACAATGAGCAACAAGTATCCCAATGTTCGCTTCTTCAAGGTTGACGTGGACGTGTGCCGCGAGACCAAGACGGCCTTTCGTATCCGCGCCATGCCCACCTTTGTTTTTGTCAAGAACACTCGCTCCATTGACACCCTCTCCGGTGCTGACCCCGCTGCCCTCGAGGCCAAGATCCGCGAGCACCTCGCTGGTGGCAACGGTGCTGCAGCCGGGGCCCCCGTCTCTGACAGCCTGGTGCCTGGCCAGGTACGGCATTTGATCGATTGGCTGTGCTGTCGCTGGTCTCGGGTGTGTGCCTCTGGTTGAGCTTGCCGCCGTGCGTCTCATTCGTCCCTCCGTTGCCGTCTATAGTGGAAGCTGAACCGCTTCATCAACATGCAACAGACCGAGGTGCTCAACCTGCACGAAGAAAGCAAGGCCGAGGCGCTTGCCGCAGACGACAGCAGCCTTGTGCGCTCCGATGCCGACGAGCAGCTCATTCTCTCCCTTGGTCTCTCTCAGCCTGTCCGCATCCACTCACTGCGCATCAAGGCACCTGCCGATGGTCGCGCCCCGATGACCGTCAAGCTTTTTGTCAACCCTCTGGCCACCCCCGATTTTGACAGCGTGGAAGACGCTTCCCCTGTCCAGACCCTGACTTTCAGCCCGGACGATGTCAAGGTTGGTGCCGTGCGACATGCTTTGCCCCGTCGCCCCGGCGCGGGTTTTCGTGGTGGGCGGCCGTCGTCCTCATTGCTCATCCCATTTTGCCGTTTTGGTCATGTCCCATCCATGTGCTACACATTAGGAGGGCGTGCCCAAGGCGCTAGAGTTTGTCAAGTTTCAAAACGTCAACACCCTCGCGGTCAGTGATTGCCTCATTGCCTTTTGGTGCTGGCTCCGTTGTCTGGGCGGTTGGGTGTGGGCTCATTGTTGCCTCGTGTGCTGGGACATTTTTTCGTAGATCTTCATCGAGGACAACCAGGGTGGCGAGGATGAGACGGCCTTTTCTTATCTGGAGTTAATTGGTTCAACTCGCGATGCGACCAACATGAAGGACTTTAAGCGTGTGGCCGGCGAGGCAGGCGAAGCACACTCCTAAACGTGTTATTTTCGTGCTCCCTGTTGTTCTTTGATACAGTTTCTTCGTCTTCTTCTTCCTCTTCCTTGCGTCCTTGTCCTGTGAGTTGGATGGAATGGTGATGATGATTTGTGCCGACCAATTTCATGCCAGTAGTCCAAGCCCCATGCCAAGGCGTAGAATACGATCGCTTCAGAAACTCACAAAAGAGCGAAACCAGTGAACGTCAGCTGAACATCAAGTTTTGTAACGGTCACTTGTGTGTGTGTGTGTGTTGTGATGACGGCTTTGGTGGTATTTCTCTCTCTCTCTGATCAGGTGGGCCGTGCCGTATTGGTGATGAACCGGGTCATCATCATCATCATCATCATCATCATCCATCAACATACCCGCCTCCTGGCCTTCTCATGACTTGCATGCCAATCGCTGATAGGCTCGGCCAGCAGGAGCACACAAGCATTTATTAGAGACCACCATCAACGTTGTCATCAGTGTCATTCGTAACTTTGGTATGTCGATTACTGCCAGCCCCATTCACTCGCCGATCAGTACTCGCCTTGGCCTAGTTGGACGCCTCCCACACTGCGCCTTGCCTCGGACCTCACGTCTTCTTGGTTGGTTGGTTGGCCAGTGAATCGCCGGGCATTTTTTTTCCGACTGCATGAGTCACCCAGTTGCCAAAGTCGCAAAAACCATTGGAATGGCCGCTTCCCTTCGTGTCGTGCGCAAGCACCCCGACGCCCAGCTCCCCAAGCGTGGGAGCCCTGAGGCAGCAGGCTACGACCTCTATGCGTACGCTTCATCGCCTCGTCCTGCCCGATCACCACACTGGCCTTGTGAGCGGGATTGGTGGGTATATACAGGATACGCTCATGAGACCGGGTGCTCCGGGCGCGTGGTAGGGTTGAGGACACCGTCATTGCAGCACAAGGCAAGGCCATCGTGAAGACGGGCCTCATTATGGAGATTCCTGAAGGCTGCTATGGCCGCATCGGTACGTGCCTCGCTGCCCACTGAACCGCAGTGCCCGCCCTCCCTTTGAACTGCGCTGCTGCAGTTCCTTCTGCTCACGCCTCACCAAACTGTTGTCTCCTTGATTAGCACCGCGCTCGTCCTTGGCCGCCAAGCATCACTTGGATGTTGGTGGTAAGTGATTGACACACAAGTACTCTTGACAACTTGCAACACAGCCCTGCTTGATATTCTGCTGGTGCTCATACTGGCTCGGTGATGTTTCGGAAAACCTTGCGCCCATTTTGCATAGCTGGCGTGATCGATCGCGACTACCGCGGCGAAGTGGGAGTTGTCATGTTCAACTTTGCCCAGCAAGAGTTTACAGGTTGGTTTGCACTGTTTTGATCAACTCGAGTTTTGAGGGGATCCAAGGCCACGCAATACCTGTTCATGCTGTCGCCTTGCTCTCATCTGGGGGTTTTCAACTGTTGCCTGCAGTAAAAAAGGGTGAGCGCATCGCGCAGCTTATTTTGGAGTGCATCTTCACGCCTTTGGTGGAGGAGGTCGGGTCCCTATCCGACACTTCACGAGGCGAGGGTGGCTTTGGCTCCACCGGTACCAACTGAATATTGCATACCATTGACTAAAGCTCAGGTCATAATGGACCGAAGGAGCGAATAGAATGACTGATCACAACACACACGACAATTGACTGCACCAATTCCTTTGAAGCAAAACAAACACACTTCATTTTTTGCAACCCTGCTAGGGCCGATGGCCTTTGGTGGCGCCTGCTCTTGCCTATATGACCTTGCTCAACATTGCCCGCTCTAGCTTGGCAGCACACCAACACGATTGTGGCGCGCTTGGCCAAAGGTAGTATGATCAAATGCAATTTGAATAGTATGAGAAGGATGAGACTCGCGCACACCCATCCAATGTCGGCGTGCAAGGTCCTTATGGTGCAAGCTCAAATACATCATTCGAGTTGGGCTACTAGCTGCGCACGATCCGGAGCTGGGTCAGGCCGTGAGGGTAGACGCCGGAAGATGGCTTGCCAAGCGAGTGGGCAACGCTCCAATCGGTCATAGGCTGGTGTTGGATCAAACCGGGTTTCGCAAAGCTCCACCTGCTCCCAGCTGGCAGCCGCAAAGGGCCCACAGTCCAGGGTGAGCTCTTCGCGCGACACGGTGGCCGGGCCCACTTCGGCTTCATTGGCGTTGCCCGTTAGCATACACAGCACGCCTCCAGGCTGCAGCAGCCGCTGATACAAATCGACCAGTCGTGCACGAGCCTCAGGGGCCACCGTGTGGTATAGCTGACAATCAAAGATGAAATCGTAGGTTCCATGAACGTCCGTGGCGTCCTCCAGTTCCCAAAAGTCTTGGCATTTGAAACTGAGGCGCTCGGCGGCTGCGCTGCTGCGTTCCTGCAGCTGCTCGCGCTGTTTCTCAGCCTGATCCAAGGCTGCTTGCACAACATCAATACCAACGACATTGTATCCCTGCTCGGCGAGATAACAACAGGAAGCTCCTGTGCCACAGCCCAGCTCCAGGGCGCGCGGGGCCTTGTTCTCACGCATTGAGTGGCACAAGGTGGCGAGTCGTGGCAGCAGCTCCACCAATTGGGACGCAGGCCGCCCCGTGTCCCATGGCGCCTCACCTTGGTAGTAACGTTCCCACTTGGCCGTATCTGTTTGATCCTGCACCATTCCGGCTTCTGCCATGCTCCTGGTCTTGCCGCCTTCTAGACGAAAATGAGCTCGATACTGGAGCCGTTGAGACTGTTGTGTGTGTATGTATGTGTGTGTGTGTGTGTCAAAGCTCATCGAACAACCTAGCTGCCTGTCTATCACTGTGTCTTGTGTCTGCGTCTACCCTACCACTGTCCTCCACAGCCACACGACCACAGCCACGGTGTCAATAATAATAATATGACCCTAGATCGTGTGTCACTGACGGCTCTTGAGGTTTTTTTTTTTTTTGATCCCTCTCTCTCTTTTTTTTTTTTTTTCTCACTTTTTTTTGCTTTCGATCTCTCTCTCTTTTCTTTTTTTGCTTCTGTTCTCTCTCTTCACACACAGACACACAACACAAACAGACACACACTGCATTTCCCCCTCTCTCTCTCTCTCTCTCTCTCTCTCTGTGTGTCTCTCTCTTTCCATCTCTCTCAGAGAGTTTTTCGAGCAGCAGGGTCGTTGTCAGTCAGTGGCAGTGTTGATTGCGTGCAGGGCGGCGGTTTTTGCTGGTGGTGCGGTCAGGTGTGGGTGCGGTGTTTGGCTGGTGCGATTGGATTTGGTAAAGCCCACGGGCTTTGGCGGTGTTGGTGAGCGCCTGTTGCGCGTCGTGCTTGAGCTTGAGTGCTTGAACAACTCGACAGCCAGCCATGTCGGACGAAGAGGATTACATGCTGGATAGCGCCGATGACGATGACGAGGAGAACTATGACTTTGTAAGAGGCGCCAGCCCTTGGCCGTCAAAGTCAAGCTTGGCATTGTTTGACCTGCGGATGGCAACTACGCTCATCCATGGCCACACCCTGACACTTTGCTTGCCCTGGTGCGTTCAGGAATACGAATCAGATGACGGCGAAGAGGAAGATGATGCTGATTTGGAGAACCTCTACTATTCAGCCAAGCAGGCCAAAGAGCATTCGACAGAGGAAGCCCTCAAGGCCTTTCGCAAAGTCAGTCAGATGCCGTCCCACGCAGCCGTTCAATCAGGCCACCATCGCCATTGCTTTGAGGCGAGATGTACTCAATGCGTGCGTGTTGATGTGTTGTGTCCGATGCGCTTGGTTATAGGTGATTGATACAGAGGAGGAGAAGGGCGAATGGGGCTTCAAGGCTCACAAACAAACGCTCAAGCTGCTGTTCAAGCAGGTTCTGTATCCGTTTCCCCGCCTCATCTTCTGTGCTTTGTCGCAGTCAACTCATCACCCGTTTGGCACAGAAACGCTACGAAGACATGCTCAAGGTCTACCAGAGTCTCTTGACTTACATCAAGGTAAACCTGCTAAACGCATCAGAGCACACCACACTCCACAAACATTGGCGCATGCCCGTCTGATGACCCATCCCCTTCCCCTCTATCAATATAGAGTGCCGTCACACGCAATTACAGTGAGAAATCCCTCAACTCCATTCTCGATTACATCTCTGCCGCCGACAAGGTATGGCTCGAAGCGCCACAGGCTGCCTTGTTGGCCAGCTCTAGCCCACAAAACCTTTGACTCTTTGGTCCTCCGCCCCGGCCAACACGAATCATGCCATTCTAGCCGGAGCTGTTACAACGCTTCTATGAGGCAACCATGTCAACACTCAAGGAGGCGCGCAACGATCGGCTATGGTTCAAAACCAACTTGAAGGTCAGACATGCAAGACTTTGAGGGCATAAGACACCGTTTGTGTCCTCCCACATCTCATCGTCGGCCGGATTTCTCCTTGATAGCTGGGCGGCGTGTATCTGGCGCAACAGAACTGGCCCGCGCTCGAGGCATTGGTACGCGATTTACACGCCTCGTGTCAGACTGAGACTGGCGAAGACGACCAAAATAAGGGCACGCAGCTCCTCGAGGTCTATGCGCTGCAAATTCAAATGCACACCGAGAAGAAAGAGCACAAACAGCTCAAGGTCAGCTTCAGAGCCCACACCTTTACCTCTTCCCCCCCTCCGGGACTTCTGCCCCAATCCTGCCAAGTCCTGTCGTGGTGTCCGTCCGACTGGTGCTGGCGAGACTGAAATTCAAAGCCCTTTTTAGCTTGAAAGCGCTGCCTCATGGGGATTGACGCACCTTATTGTGCCTGCTTGTGCAGGTGCCCTATCAAAAAGCGTTGGCGATCCGATCCGCCATTCCACACCCCCTGACCATGGGCATCATTCGAGGTATTGGCTTCATGCTTCGTCCGTCACCTTTTTCCTTCTTCTCAATTCCACGTGACATGAATGCCCAACTATTAGCTTGTTCACACACCGTTTCACTCACGTCTTGGTCGTGGGTAGAATGTGGTGGAAAAATGCATTTGCGTGAAGAGCTGTGGACGCGTGCTTATGAAGACTTTTTCGAGGCCTTCAAGTCCTATGACGAAAGTGGCAGCCCCAAGAAGATTACTTGCCTCAAGTATCTTGTCTTGGCCAACATGCTCATGAAATCAGATGTCGATCCTTTTGACGCCCAAGAGGTGCGAACATACATAGTGGTGCTCCGGCCATCTGCTTGTCCGTCGTGCCTCACGACTCAGCAACCCTATCCATCCTGTGGTGTGGTCGTCTCGTGCTAGAGCAAACCTTATCGCAACAATTCCCAGATTGAGGCAATGACCAGCCTAGTCAGGTTTGTACCCCATGGCTGGGTGTTGACTGTCATGGAGCTGGAACCGAGTGCAGAGCAGTCACTGTTCTTTCTCGTTTGGCCGTTACTTGATGCCGGGCTTCATATTCACACTGAGTGTTGGTGGTACAGCGCCTATCAAGCTGGCGACATCAAGGGGTTTGAGAAGATTCTTCGCCAAAACAAGTCCACAATCATGAACGATCCCTTTATCTCAGACTACATCCAAGGTCAGCATTTGAATCAATCTGCTGGTATCCGGCCATTACCAACCGCCTTTCTTTTCTTACTTGCTTTGCAAATCCACCACCTTGAAAATTGACCGAGCTCGGCTTTGTTTTGGAACTGTGCGGCAGACTTGTTGACCAACGTGCGAACCAAGGTCATCGTCGAGCTGGTGCGCCCGTACACCAACATTCGCCTCGACTTCATTGCCGAGCGCCTCGCCATTGATCGGAGCCAGGTTGAGGAGCTCATTGTTGAATGCCTGCTTGACAAGTGAGTTCACATGGTCCAATCTGTCCTCCATCACCTACGCGCACCTTGGCTCATTTGATTGTGTCGTCTGTCCTCTCACCTACAGGAGTATACGAGGCCAGATCGACCAGCTTCGAGGAATTTTGATCTTAAGCCAGGAGCAAGCAGTTGCACGTTACGAGTCCTTGGCCACGTGGCAAAACGCCGTGCATGACTTGCAAAGCAAACTGACGGCCATATAAAGCAGGTCAAATCATCGACTTGTCTTGACCTCAGTACAGCTGTGGATGCGCCAGGACGGGAAAGCCTTGCTTCCGGCTTGCATCAACGCTTCAGGGTTCTGTTCTCCGCGATTCCTTTTCCAAACTTCGACTGGTGCTAATTGATGTCAACATCAATTAAAAAATGAAGCACGTGCCCAGACTCAGACCTGGAGAGTAGGTTTTAAATGATAGCTTGGGGGACGGCAATTCAATCAAAATGGCATTACAAGCCTTGTCGCCAAGTGGGGACGGCACGCCGGCCCAGCGTGGCCACGGAGCCCGGCTGCTGAACATCATGGCTCTTGTCCTCCCGCCGGTGACGAGCTGCCGCATTGAGTGACGTAAGGCGGCTGGTGTCGCGCTCCACGTGAATCTTGCCGCGCACCTAAAAAGACCAGATGGACAATGAGAGCTCTATTCCGGCTGGAGGAAAATAGGGGGAGAAAAACGGAGCATGGTGGTTGAAAATCCAGGCCAAACATGGCTTGCCTTATCGCGAAGGGCATCCAGTTTTGCCTGCTGTTTGGCTGCGTCAGCTTCGGCTTGAGCAGCTTCACGTTTCTTATCGGCTTCAAGCTGCGCAATGGCTGCGGCATTGCGTTCCCGAATCTTGGCTGCCTGGCGTTGCGCCTCGAGGCGCTGCTGCCGCTCCAGGGTGTCGGTCAGTTGTTTCTTTTCAGCCTGCGCCTGCTGCTTGCGGGCCGAATGCTCAGCCACCTTTGCCTGCAAGGCCGCTTGACGTGCGGCACGTTGAGCAGCAGCTCGTTGCTGACGTTTGTGCCGTGCCGCTTCAGCCGCCTGGCGCTCTTCTTGCTCCTGCTCTTCACGCTGACGGCGCCATCGCTCAAGTTCGCGCTGCTTCTGCGCCTGGTGCTGTTGGAGGCGTTCAGCGGCACGACGTGCAGCTTGTTGCTCTTGTGCATAGCGCTCCTCGTCCTCTTGACGCTGCTGTTGGCGCTGTTCCTCCTCGCGAGCAGCGCGGGCTGCACGCCACTGAGCCACCGCCTCCCGCCGCACCGAGTCTAGACGTCGAAGCTCTTCATACCACTCGAGGTGCTCTTCCACGTTGTCACGGGTCTTGCCCAACAGCTGCTCGGCCACTTCAGCTACCAGGGGCCCGCGTGCACCACGATGCTTTTTATACACGCGCACAAAAACGCCGTGATCGTATGTTTCCCAGCCCCCTTGCTTGCCGCCATGTGCATGCAAGTAGGTCTCGTACTGGCCAACCTCAGGGGGCAGGTCGGGGGCGGGTGCGGTACCAGGTCGTGCGTGCAAACCGGTTCGGGATTTGCGCATGCCAGGGTGGCGGTTGTCGTGGAGCCAGCGCTCGAATTGCGCCAAGAGCAGCTCTAGCTCCCGTCCAAGTGCCACCTCCTCACGCAGAAGCATTTCGTAGGCATCGGCGCGTGAGGTTTTGAACTCTTGGATGTGGCTCTCACACCCTTGTACCCGAGTATTGACGCGCGCCACATAGTCTGGATCACGATCGGGTTGGCGGAGCAGCTCGGCCAAGTCTTGCACTGCTGATCGCGTTTCAGCTAGCTGTGCTTGCATTTGCTGCTTCTCCTGCTGGCGCTGCGCGGCCAGTTCTTCAGCGTGGCGCTGTAGACTGGCCGGATCCACCAAAGGCTGGTTGTGGAAGCGTCGGAATACGTCGTGCTGCAGCTGCCGCTCGAGAGCACGCTCATCCTGCAATAGGCGCTTCAGCTCCTCCATGACCGTGCGTTTACCACCATTTTTGCTTCCTTTTGGATGCCGTTTGGTATCACCACGGCGTGTTGTGGCCCCTGGCGTCACTTGCATCGAATTCAAGTCTGTAGGTTGGGGCAGTTCTGCCGCCGCTGGCTCGGCATCACCCAGCTCATGATCCTGGGCAGGCGCATCATGGACTGCATCGGGGTGGGACTTTTGAGGTCGCGCGGAACCATAGCGTGCAGCGGCGCCCTGTCGTTGCTTAAGTCGAGCCGCCTGGCGGCGCAAGGCGTTGAGTGATTCTTGATGCGCAGTCACTGGGGCATCAGGTACGACGAGAGACTTGCGCACGATGCCGGGGCGGGCAAATGCCGTCGGGGGCTTCCGCACCCGAAGGCCGGGCGCCAAGCCGCCAGTCTTTGTGCGTGTCGCTGCCTGGCGATTTTGGGTCTCAGCCGACCCAGCGCCCCGCTCAGACCCACCATCCTCGGATGAATCGGGCAACGTCAGCTGCACTACTGACGCCATGCAAACGGGCAATCGAGAGCGTCAAACAAGGGTGAGGGTCAGGGGAAGGAGAGAAAAGGAGAGGAGGAAGGAGGAAGGCGAGAGGGAAGGAAGAAGGAGGAAGGAGAGAGGGAAGGAGCAGAGGAGCAGAGGAGGAGGAGGAGAGGAAGATGTGGAGGTGGAGGATGGAGAAGGGAGAGGGAGAGGGAGAGGGGAAGGTGGAGGATGGAGCAGGGAGAGGGAGAGGGGGAAGGAGCAAAAGAGCAGAGGAGGAGGAGGAGGAGGGAGGAGGAGGAGGAGGAGGAGGGAGCAGGACACGAGAGGGAAGAGAGAGAGAGCAGAGCAAAAAAATTCAAATTTTTTCAGTAGTCAAATTGTTTTCCTGTAGACACAGGTTTAGAGCCTTCACAAAGAGTGTGCACAACTCGTGTTGTGACCAGATATGCCCTTGGCTACGCATCCACAACAGAGAGAGAGAGAGAGAAGTGTGGGTGTGTCTGGCAGTTTTGGCGGTGGCAGTGGCAGGGGGGCAGTGGTGTACAGTGCGCGACGGGCAGCAGGCGTGGCGTGACCTTGGCCTCGGGTAGGCTGAGTGTGGGAGAGAGTCTTGTAGGGTTGCTTCAAGGCATTTCTAGGTCGTTTATGAATGACCACTCTGTCGAGAACCAAACGCTGTGCTCGAAAAGTTTAAAGGTCTGTGTCCGGCATGTCGGCTCCGGTGGCGAGAGGGGGCAGGGGCCTGCAAAGGGTTGTCGGGCCTGAGACAGGTCTGCCGTTAGTCTGATGTTGCTATGTTCCAAGCAAGCAGTGGCATGCATCTCCGTCAATTGTTCTTCGACCTCACTTGTGCATGCTCGGTGCGGTTTCCTTTCTTGTCTACAGAGCGCCAGTCAGCATGGCCAATCGCAAACAGTGAGTCATGACCGCAAGGCACCGCGTCATGCACAGACTGGCTGGGCTTCGTGTCGTGCCCTAGGCTAGCCCTTGATTGTCTGCATCTGACCTCGCGTTGCGTGTCTTGCGACATTTTCTGTCAGACTGCGCAATGAAGCCGATCGGCTGGCTCGCGAGAATGAGAAGATGGAGCACCGGCTTCGGGAGCTGCGGGACACGCTTCGCCGACAAAAAGAGGATCGGTCTGCCAACGGGGGCTATTCGTGGCAAAGTGGCGAGCGGGGTGCCTTGCGCGAGCACCACAAGGTTGTGCTTGAAGAGAACCAACAAAGACGCACGCGTGGTCGCCGCATGAAGGTGCTACCCCCCAACCCCAGCGATGTACGCTCCCACCGCGCCATGCCCACCGCGCCCACAAGTGGACGCAGCAGCGGAAGCGTGCGCCCACGTCCCCCGCCGAGTGCTGCCGAGTCTCGGACTTCCGGCACAACTGCTACCGGTGTGGGCAGCGGGCGAAGCAGCGCCGCACGCAGCCGCTTCGCACCTTCAGTTGGCCTGGAAAATACCCCCACGCCACTCGACCCGGGGCACGCCGAGTTTCTTGAAGCCCTGAATGAATGGCGCAATGGCAGGTACGCGAGGCTTGTCAAGTCACACGGCACGCACCATCGCCCTCATTGTGTCTATTTCCTCTGACTGACCTGGGCTGTGACATTCGTGCTTGTTGTGCTCTTTCCGCATGGGCTGCTCCGTGCTGCTTGCGCGCTTGCATCGGGACCAACGCTAGTGTGGAAGCAGACGCTTCTTCAGTGACCGCGGGGTCCTCGAGGCATGCGGGCAGTCGAAGCGCTTCGACGGTGGCTGCCGAACCCGTTGTCCACCCACCAACGCCGCCCGAGGGCGGGGGTCGCCTTCTGGACGGGCCTGCCTTTGATGAAGCTGCAGCCCAGGCCTCCTTTCGTGATGCTGTCAATCAATGGCGAACAACGGGTGACTCGGAGCCCGAACCTGCGTCTCGCAACTGGAGCTTGCCCGGTTCACTAAACGCCGTCACGCATGGAACTTCGACGGGCAGTGAAAACAATCCCGAGGTGGGCTTTGTACGAGGCGTTTGTTGGCAAACGTGTTTTAATTTTGTTTTCTTCTCTTGCCATGCTTGGGCTGGTCCCCATATTGGTCGCGCTCGCGCTGACTTGCTTGCAGCGCTCAACTCAAGTCGTATCGTTGCTCACCGCAGACGTTTGACGTGCGCTTCAAGAGCAATTTGACGTATCTCGAGCGCTTGATGCTGAAGAAGCAACGCGCCTCGCCTTCTGCCTCGCCGCAGCGACCCTCCACAGCCCATTCACAGAAGGACGCTGATGATGAAGGCCTTGTTGATCTTGATCCCGAAGATCAGCTCGAGCAAGAGCTGCTTGCCGGTCGACTTCACCGCATTGGTCTCGAAGTACACCCCATCAGTAGTCTCAACGCGTCTTTTGAGGCACCGCGGCCGGTGACTGTGCGCACGGTGGACAGTGCAGAAGGAGAGGAGGATCCAGAGTCTTACATTGTCGAGGAGGATGATGGGGATGAGCCATTGGTCGAAGAACCTGATGATGAGGAGTCGACGACCGCTGGCAACAACTTTTACCCGCCCATCCATCGCCCACGCACCGCGGCACAGGAGCCTCAGGTTGGCTGCTTTGATCAATACTGCTCGCGACCTCTCCTTGCCTCGAGCCGCCCTCACTCTTGGCGGTTTGGGCTCACCATGGGCTTTGTTTGTATCCGTATGTGTGTGCTCGTGTCTATCAGCAACTCTACATGGGGGTCCAAGAGTCAACGGACGACGCAGAAGGAGGCGACGTGGACTTGAATCTTTCCCTGAGCAAGGCTCGCATCACCTCTTTTGCCGAGCAAGAGGACTTGGATGAACTCGAGACTTCAATGCGAGAGGCTGCATTGGTCAACACCCAGGTACAGCAAGTCTCCTAGATGAGGGCGGCTGAGCATCGCTTGTTATTGTTGTGTGTTTTTTTTTTTTTTTTTTTTTTTTTTTGGTTTCTCTTTTTGGCTTTTTACTTGACACTGGTGCACAACCCCACCGGTTACACTCCGACATACATTCAGCTGCGCTCATCGAGCTTCAGCCGTGTGCGAATGGCTTCGAACTGTCAAGAAGACAGGTCGAGCCTAGATATTCTGCGCCTTATACTTACATACACACTTTCATTCGCACTTGCATGTGGTGACTTTGAAGCATGGATCCTCGATCCGTGTTGTGTGACCTTCTTGTCGTTCGCGTCGGTGTTACTCTGCCCCGCTTTGGCAACTGTTTGAGTGTGAGCAAGCGCAAATTTTGTTTGAGAGTCTTGAAAGGGCCAAGCCGGACTAGAGTCATGTGCCTTGCCCCCTTTTTTCCGTGTTTTTGGCAATCGAGTTTTGGTTTTGAGTGAAGATTTCTGCTGAGACTTTGGCATGGTGCAGTTCCTTTTGGCTTAAACTTGTGGCTTGGCTTGGAAGCTAATGCATTTGAGCTTTTTTTTTTTGGCGTGCTTCCCACATGCATAAGTCACATCGCCGCGGCTAGGGCGCCCATGACTCGATGATGGTGACTCACGTGGCGTGGACACCCTCGCGGCTTGGCTTTCTGATAGCATGACGCCGCCACCTCGATTCAAAGTCTATGGCGCGGCTACCGTGCACGTCGAGCCGCAGAGGACCTGCGCTGGGAGCGCCGACAAACAAGTGCGGCCACGGTGATCCAGGCCTCCTGGCGTGGCACTCTGGCCCGTGAATTTGTCGATAATCTTCGTCAAAGCAAGCACGAGCATGACGCTGCCATCCGCATCCAGGTCAGGACCAGTGCCTATGCTTTATCGTCATGGCGGTGTATGGAGTTTGCTGACCACTGTCTTGCCATCTGACGCTACACAGGCACGCTACCGTGGTCATTTGGGTCGGCGAGCAGCTGAGGCTCGCAAAGTAGAGCTGGTCCAGAATTCGGCGCTCGAGGCAGCTGAGCGTTCATTACGCAACGCAACTGTAACCAAGCGCAAAGCTCACCCCCTGCCCGTTCCTGGCCAGCAAGACCGCATCCAATCTCTGTCAGCGGGTAAATCTCGGTCTGAATCGCATAGCTCGTTCTAATTTGAGCCACCAGGCCCGCTAGAGAGCAGGGGATTTTTATTCTTTTTTTTAATGAAGTAGAGTAACTTTTTTCTTTTTCTTTTCTTTTGCGAGATGGTTTTTCTGTCAGAGAGCCCCGTTCTGAGTGGTCTGCGGGCTGAAAGTTTGCTGTGTTCGCCTCGTTGTGACGTTGTGAACTTGCGTCGCCTCTTTGCGAAAAAAGCCGTTTGATACATGCCAGTGTCGTGTTTTAGTGGTTGGTGTTTTACATTTTTTCTTCTTGTGGTTGTCCAGCTGTGGTGGCTCAGACTTGAGTTCAAATGCAGTCTTGGCCCAGCCATCCATGATGAATTAAGGCAATTTGAGAATCTTGCGTGGGCGCAGTGGGTCAGGCTTGTTTAGGCGGGTGATGCTCGGACACTAGGTCGGTGGGTAATCGATGTGTTCGGCCCAATACACGTCTGAAACGACACCAAAGGTGTTCTCGATCAGCTCGCGCGATTCCACAAGCTGGGTCGTCAGCGACAAGGGCTGGTCGGATGCCAAGGCCACTTTATGCATAAAGGCCAGACTGCCGACGATCTGTTCCGAGGAGGACATGGCAGGCAGGGCGTGCAGATGCATGTGAGACGCACTGACAAAGGCTGTGTTGGCCAAAAGGGGTGTTGCGGGTGGAACGATCAAGGTGGTTTACCTTGCTGCGTCGGGCGGGGTGCACGGTGTTGGCCGTCACGGGGTTGAAGCCGTGCTCGTTGGCAGCCACCAGATGTCTGACAGAGGCGGCCACGTTGGGTACAAACTCAGGGCGCATGATCAGGTCGTACATGTCGCCAGAGCGAACTGAATATTCTTGTGATCGCATCGAATCAGAAGAGTGTGCCAGCCAAGGAAACATCCACCAGTCGTAATGTGAAACCTAGCAATATTTTTTCCCCGGAGTTGAATGGCGAAGATGAGCGAGCGTTGGTGGGGGTGTGCCAGGTGCAGTGGCCTCAGTACTGGCTGACCTGGAATTGGCGCCACTGGTTAGTAGCAGCCCACTGGCCAAAGGTGATATCATTGGCGCATTGAATGCGCTGGGTGGGCTGTTGCTGACGTTTGGACCAGATTAAATCTGCGGTGCCTAAGATGCAGCAGGCAGCATAGGTTCGGAGCAGTGGGCCTGCGATGTCTGGCGAGGGAAGCGGCGTAAGTATGTGCTGCATACATTCCAACACACCTTTGCGCGGCCAAGTCTTGGGTTGAGGAGCAGTGTTCGCGGGGACATCAGGTGCATTGGCATTATCTTGCTCATTCGTGTCCCGAAACGACAGGGTGGTGCTGCCATTCTGCTGCGCCGGGACATTGTCAGGAGCAGGTGTTGACTTGCTGCTGCAAGAGGACCGGGATGTCGTGGGCCGTGTTGCTAGAATGTTGTTGTTGCCGTTGTTTTCGTGAGTGCCTTGATCTCTGTGATGGCGTGTCGTGCTCAGCGAGCGCTCTTGGGGGGTGTGCTACACCACAAATTTTTGGGATGAGGTGAGCTGTGGCCGCTTGAGCGGGATATGTGCACACGGGCGTGTCTCCGTGTGGCGATTGATATGAGGGGATACCAACCAAGCTCTGGCCATTGTACTGGGGGTGGGGCTTGCTGTGTGTCAGCAGTGGGTTTTTGGCGACCTTTCGTTCCGGGCAGCAGCACGAAGGGAAGGCGCCCATCGTGTGGACGGTTAGACCCACGAGTACTGCGGCCGCCAAACCTACAAAGGTAAAAGCTTGACTCAGTTCTACAGATCACATGAGCAGGTAGCCTTGGAGTTGGGCCTGGCCTTCAGGTCTTTCAGTGGGTATTCCAAGCAGGTGCCGATCATTCCCTGTCCCTCGGGCGGATCTCGTACGGTGTTTGGAGGTCGCCGCGGTCAGAGCCCTTTTCACGTTGATGCCGGATCGTCGTCGTCTGCATGGACGCACGCCTGCCAGCTACCCAACAGTCAGCCCACGCGGACACCCTCCTCCCAATGTGCATCCATCCACTGGCCCAAGCGAACCAGTCCGCCGCCTTGAATCTCTCACACACACACAAACGAATCGAATCGATCACATTCACGGATTCCTTTTTTGTGAGAAGAGAGACAGAGAAGAGCGAGAGAAGAGAGAGAAGAGAGAGAGAAGAGAGAGAGAGAGAGAAGAGAGAGAGAGAGAAGAGAGAGAGAAGAGAGAAGAGAGAGAGAAGAGAGAGAGAGAGAGAAGAGAGAGAGAAGAGAGAGAGAAGAGAGAGAGAAGAGAGAGCGGAGAGAGAGAAATTGAAGATCAAGAGAGCGGAGAGAGAGATAGATTCGCGAGATAGATTCGCGAGAGAGATTCGCGAGAGACAAGGTGAGAGGGAGATGTCAAGTGTAGTGACAAATAGGGTTTTTGCAGTTTTTCAAGCGTATCAAAGGGGTATTAGTGGTAATCACAGTAGGTGCTAATGTCGTTAATCAATATATATACAACGCAAATAAAATACAAAAAATCCACAGTTAAACTCAACAAATAACATTACAATTTCATTCAAAAATGCATAAGGTAACTAAATACCTGCAACAAGTCGGTCGTCGAGGATAAGCACCAACAAACCCTGGTCGAGCAAACACAACCAAAGCGCCACCACCAGACTTAATGAAGCAAATCCTGAAGTTTATGTAGATACTATAACCATCCAGAGCTAATATATGTAGATATCAAAAGGGTTATATACGATCAGTGGGCGGTCCTTGAAAGAGGCGGGGCGAGGTGTCCTGGAAACTTCAATTTGCAAGCGTGGCCTCCGCCCCGGTGCTACCTCCTCGTTCATTCATTCCTTGTCACGCGTTGAGATCGTTTGGTTGGCGGCCGGTGCGCAGAGGCTTGGTTCGGACGTGCCTTCACATCATTACTGCCACTGCCAGGGGCACAATATCCCCGATCACCATCTGGCTTTATCCCACCACCCGTTTGACTTGAATCAGATTGAGTGGGCTCTTGGGTTTGACAGGTGGAGGGACATGGCCGTGCCTGGGGGGATGCGAGGCAGCAACGATTGAAAAAGCACTGTCGACTCGTGCTGGTGGCGCGCCCAAGACACGTCGCTTTCTGTTCTTCCGGTTATAGTGTTGACGGCTATAGGTGCCGTTTATCCACGCCCAAACAGACCGGTATCCGTCCAATCCAGATGGCCAAGATGGCGGCTGGCACCTTGCGCACGGCTGATTTCACCGTGCGAGGCGGCAGGGTTGAGCGAGCTCAGCCCGTTGATATGCGGTACACGCGCACATATCGCAACGACCGAGATCCCGACGCCGCCCAACTACGTGAGACTGCCCTTGGCACCACCTCTGGGGCCCGCCGCAATGCGCGCACTGCGCCCACTGTGGTGCCTCGCGCTGCCATTCGACGAGCTGTAGATGGCACAATTCACGACACGCAACGCGACCAACGCGTTCTTGTGCTCAGTCTACGTGAGGTGCAGGCGCGTCTCACAGCCGTTCATAATGGCTTGCATCGCCACACGCAGCGCTTGCAGACCGAGCTTGAGGTAGGCCCGCGCCGCCTGGCTGGTCTGGCCTCTGCCAGCCTCGTCAAGCGCCGACAGCGCGCTGTTCCGGCATCCAATGACGATGTTACATCTGCACTCAAACAAGAGCGCACAGAGGCGCTCGAGGCTGTTCAGCGCTTTGAACGTCAGCTGCAGCAAAACCGGGCCCTGCTTCAGCAATTGTCCCGTGACGAGAAAGCTCTTCGTCGCCACATTGACCAAGAAAAAAGCAGCCTGACTCTTCACGACGAGCATCACTCTGGCGTTGTCCAACAACACAGTCGTCCACAAGGCCAGCCACCTGCCAGCGTGGTTCAGGCCACCACCACTTCGCTGAGCGCCAAGGCTGCGCAAAGCGCCACGGAGACCCTGCTGAGCGAGATTGGCCCCGCCATGCGCGCTCTATACGAACGCACCAACTCAGCCCTGCGCAATAGCATTGCCAATGCTTCCCGTCTCAAGGTACGCGGTTGCATGCTCCCTCTTTCCAGATCCCTGGTCGATTTTCTTGTCATACTGACTTTTCTGTCGTGTCTGGGTTGCCCACCAGTCCGAGAACGCACTAGCTCGGGGCCAATGCATCGTGTCACGCAACGCGGCTGCGCGTGCCGCGGAGCGAGTCGACTTGACCCACCAGCTCAACCACGGCCCTCGCGAGACTCGATTTCGAACCGTATCAGAGCGCGTTGATCGCCCCATGGTCCGCTCTCTGGGACGGAATGAGCATATTGACCGATCTGCCGTTGTGGGCTGGGAAAGCAGCGAGCGCGGCAATGTGACCCTGGCTGCGAAAACACGCTCGCTCACGCGTGACACTGCCCGCCTAGGTAAGCATGCACAGGCCGACGACCTCGCCTGGTTGCTTTTTGCACCCTCGTTGCTTTTTGAACCCTCGTTCCGCCGCCTCATCGGTTGCTGCTGCACGACTGTACCGGGCGCTTGCCCATCTTTGGTCACAGATAAATCGGCACACCAGTTGCAGCAGGCGGCTTGGGATCAAAAGAACAGCGCCGAGCTTGATCGTGCGGTTTTGGCCCTTCGTTGTCGCAGTGACTTTGGCCAAAGGGCCAACCGGAAATAGATTATTAGGTTTTGAGTCGTTGTGCCAGATTAATTGACATGTAAATTTGCATCCCAAGCCCTGTCAACTGCAACACACATGCACGCATAATAGTTGGCTGGACATGAAGCAAGAGGTGAAGCAAAACGGGACTACAAAAACTAGGAAGAAAAGGTGTCGCAGGTGCGCCATGAATCGACGCATGCATACGTGCCGCCGCAGTTCAAGGTTGGTGGCGCGTTTGCAGAGTCAGAGAGGACCCAGCGCTGGTACACGACCGCCGGGCAAACTGCTATCAAAGGTTCATGCCGATTCACTGTCGTCGGCCAACAAGGCGGCGATACGACGTACAACGTCGTCAGCGGCCGCAGATTGGAGATAGGAGCTGGGTCCAGAACTGGGGATCTCGTGGTGGTGGGGAATCTCCTCCTCGCCTCCTGCAGAAGCGCCACTGGCGGTGCCTTCAGGCGCCGGTGCGGGCGCACTCGAGTGTGTAGCAGTGGGTGAGCCTGGTGCAAACACACTCGAGCGACGATATGCCCCCTATTTTTACACCAAGTTTAGGCCCAAGCGTGTTGCAGTGAGCATGGCTGTGTGGTGTGGTTTGGAAGTGCAGGGTCGACACAGGTGTGTGCGCACGCCCGCGCAAGTGTTTGTTTGAGGAAGAGGTGGCTGGACACGTACCACAACGGTCTTATAGTCTGCTGATTCCGAGTAACAGGAAATGAAATCTTCATGGGCGTTCCACCACTTTTCATACAGGGCCACAACGGCTGAGGGAGTCGAGGCCGGGTCAGGCATGCCCATCCAGGGTTTGCGTGCTCCAATGAAGTGAATGACTTTGATATCTGCTTTAAAACGCTCAAAGGCAGGGGCATAACCATAGCTTTTTTTTTTTTTTTTTTTTAGGGAGGGGGCAGCGACCAAGCCAGTATCATTCCCAATGAGTCAAGACAGCCACAAGGACCGCGGTGGTCCCATTTTTTGCTTCTGTCATCATCATCTGGCTGGTGCGGATTGGCTCACCTGGCATTGGCGGTCATGTTGTACGCGAAAGGGAGGCGTGCTTCACCTCCCTGCGTGGCCCAGTCGGCAAAATACTCGTTCAACAGTCCCTGATCTCCACCTGGCTCGGGCAAGAGGGAGGAGAATTGGGTCAAGGGCGTTCCCGTGGCAAGCGGAGCATGGAGGAAGGCACGTACCATCAAAGGAGCCTGTTGAAGCAAGCAGGCGGACAAGATCTTCAAACTTGGCCGAGGAGGGTTGAAAGACGAAGACACCACTGTTGAAGCAATCGGGCCAGCCAATGTCGGGGGCAGCGGCAAAGCAATTGCGCTCAAACAGCTCATCAATGTTGGTCAAAACAAGCGTGTCAGCATCGAGGAAAACACAGTTGTCGTAGTGCGTCAGTTTCCAGGCGTGCAGCTTGGTGAGGGTGACGCCAAGCTCAGGTCGTTGCAGGAGGCCCAGGTGGAAGGGGTCCTGGCTGTCCAGCTCCTCCACTGTAAAGACTCGGTCAAAGACGTCTTGCAGGCGATCCCTTTGGTGCATGCAGGGCATCAAATAAGGTGCATGTGGCCACGCGAGGTTGATTGGTGGGGCTGCTGGCGTGTTGCTGGTGATTGGACCGAGCATTGGAGGGAGAGCGGTCTGGGGAAGACTGCTCTAGAGCCGGGCTTGAGCTTACTTTTGAAAGTCGGCGACCTGCTCAGTAATCATGCATACGATTTGTCGGCGTGTGCCCGTGCGTCGCAGGCTGTGGGCCAAGAGCATGGCGCCAACGACGTAGGCATCGTTGGTGCACAGCGTCACATACGCCTGATGTGTGTTGGTCTCGCCCGTCTGCTCCATGGCACCGGCAGGTGACTGGCAGCGTTGGCCAGCTTAAAACGCGGGTCGACTAAGACCTGAGGCATGACAAACCGACAAAGCCAGGGAGGTTGAGCCTGGAGTCAAGTCGGACTGCAGGTGGATCGGGGTCGAACGCCATGGACATGTGGCAAAGGGTGGGCCCGGCGATGCCCGGATCAATCCATGCCTCCAGCAAGCGATTTGCTCTTGGAAGTGTCATCATGTGTCGCAGAGCATGTGTGATGCATGATTCCCACTGCTTTCTCTGGCCTCATGTGGTGCGCTGCCCGCCCGCTGTCAAAGCCGCCTCTGGCCCAACCGGCAACACTCACCCAAAACCTCGCGGCGAGTGTAAGGAGCCCTCGATGACGGATCCGAAAAAAAAAAAATCACTGACAGCAGGGAGATGTGGGTGGGAGTGAGTCGTCGTGCCAACAACAGGCCAGAAACAGGAGGATCATATGCACGCCGAAATGCACGCAGCGTCAAAGTGGCCACACACCAATCAGCCAGCCAGGGCAGCCACTGCCACTGCACAAGACGACCTCACCAACCTGAAATGAGCAAGATCAAACGAGAAGTGACAGAGAGAGACAGAGCGAGAGAGAGAGAAGAGAGAGAAGAGAGAGAGAAAGAAGAGAGAGAGAGAGAGACAGAGTGAGAGAAAGAAGAGAGAGAGACAGAGTTTGAAATACATGTAGAGAGAGAGAGATAGTTTAGAGAGAGAGAGAGAGAGTTTGAGAGAGAGTTTGAGAGAGAGTTTGAGAGAGAGAGATAGTTTTAGAGAGAGAGAGAGAGAGAGAGAGTTTGAGAGAGGATGCGCACAAGGTGGGAGAGGGGTAAGGGGGGGGTGTCGTGCAAGAAAGCATGGCAGCTGGCAACTTGGGGGCACGCTGAGTTGATCATGACAAGGTGGCATGGTGGTTCGGTTCTGCTTGCGAGGTGCTGTGCAATCACACTGGCTTGTCGGACACCGTGTGGTCCCTCTCTTTCGCCCCACCACCACAGGCTCTTGACTGATCGGGCCGACGCCGCCGTAGCAATTTCGAGGAGAGGTGCCGTTCCACCATGTTTTTGCCGCCCTCAACACGGTCTTCCAAGCTTCTCTCCCTCTCTTCTTTTTCAATGTACCGTCTGAAGTCGCACAAGTGAGCGGTTGCACTCGTGTTCAACAAGCTCCGAGCCATGACACCGTGCCACGAACCACAGTCCGCGGCACTTGCCCCTTCCCCTATCCAAACCGGGCTCGGCACGTTCCCGTAGCTGCTTTGTGCAGTTTCGACTCGACGCGACATGAGGGTTTGAACTCCAGGACCCCTCCTGTCCGTGCTGTCCAACTGTTAGTCCCAGCGCCGCCGTCTCCAGAGTGCCAGCGTGTGTACCATATACAGCACCATAGCACACGAGCGAGCGTGCGAGCGAGAGAGCAAGAGAGAGAGAGCAAGACACATCACACACACACACACACACACACACACACACACACACACACACACACACACACACACACACACACACACACACACACACACACACACACATTGTGTGGACGGAAGCAAGCGGCTGTGAGCGCTTACACCCTTCCCACACACACACAAGCTCCATTGCGAAAGTCTTACCCAAGGAGATGGTGGATACAAGCAAAACTTGGCAGTCCGATTGGATGGAACATATGTTTGAAACACCGACATCCCAGCAGGTGTAAACGACAGTTTTTGACAAAATTCGAAATGTTATAAAGTGTGACTCATGTTACTGTTTCGAAACCGAGCTTCCAAATTTTTTTTTTGTGAAAATTTCGAGGCTCTGCCATATTTTTTATTTTTTAATTTTTTTTTTGGGCGGGCGAGGACGTGTTGGAAAATCAACTCCGGCTGGGCGTGTGCCAGGACGATTGGCGTGCAGCACACGGGGATTCGGTCGATGATCCGTTGTTTTGGTGTTGTTCTGCTTGAAAAGGGGTCAAGTGCCGCCTGGTGCATCGACTGAGCCACGATGGGCAACGCAAACGTCAGCAACAGCAGCGGCAACCGGTATGTCACATCGTATCGCATCACGTCGCGTCGTGATTCCCCAACTTCTGGTCCACGATGCTGTCTCAAGACATCTCATGGCATATCATCCTGCACTTCCGTTCAGCGTCTCTATTGCCGAGGACATCGATGGACAGGTGATGCCAGTCCCTCCCCATCTGCCTTTTTTGTCTGGCCGTTGCGTTTCCCTGCCCGTTATACTCTCTCGGCGCCCTCTCACACCAAAGGGTTTCTCACCCGCCGTGAAAATTCAGACTGCCGGAAGCTTTGAGGGAGCCAAGCTCAAGGATCGCGATCGCCGCATCTCCAACGTTCAGGATCATGGCCGTCGCAAATCCATTCTGAAGAAAGATCGGCGCTCGTTCGGTCCGAAACACAGCACCGCTCTACTTGGTTCGTTTCGGCTCTGCGCCAGTGCTCGCCCTCCACTCCGTTCTCCATCCATGCCTACCTGCGTCATCCTCAGTATCTCCTTGCCACAGATCTGCATGAACAAATTGATACGGCGCTGTCACCCCCTGAGCGGGCCCAAGCTCTTTTCACCCGGGCTTTTGAGGTTGGCCGCCCGGACCTCACCCCTGCCTCAGCCATCCCTTCAGCATTCGGCCTTTACTCACCAGCACGCTTGCCCAAACCTCAGCTCTCCATGCAAGAGCTCGTCGAGGCAGCCACGGAGCCACATGGGGCAAAGAGGGCTAAAAACTTCGAGCGCCATGGTCTGTTTTTAGCTTGTCACCATCAGCAGCCCGGCTTTCCCACTCTTTCCACCACACCCTTTCTATTTGTCAGCTCCGTGTCCTTCTCAGCTTTGGCCATGCTTTGCTTCACAGACACCAAGTTTCTTGAAAAATTCAACAAAGAATTGGCCAAGGGCGACTCCCCCTTTGAAGCAATGTGCCAGCCTTCAGTGAAGCGGTGCGTGGATATGCGATCATCACATTTTGCATGACCCCAGCTCACCAACCCAACCATCCGCTCTTTGGCATGGCTGGTCAAACGGGCAGACCGAGTGAACGGGACGCGCGCCGTCAAAAAATCATCGTTGATCTGCAGGTTGGCGTGCTGATCGGCCTCAATTTGTGGACCTTCTTCGTTTAGTCCCCGCTCAGCTCACATTGATTGTATCTGTCGTTTTTGTGTGTCGTGCCTCTCTGTCTTCAAGGATGAAGTCGAGCGCCTCAAGGCCGTGTGCCAGGTCCTGGAGGAACAAAAGGCTACACTGGGCAATGTGTGCGTTGTGTCCGATCCTCTACCTCCTCTTTTTTCTCACCTGTCGCGTGCGCATTGCTGTTTTCCCACCCTGTCACTGACGTCGCCTCCTTTCACACCGTAGCAACAAGCGCCTCGCCAGTGCGCGGGAGGGTAATGGCGAAGAGCTTTCAGAGCAACAGGTGGGTTGCGTTCGTGCTTCTGCTGGCACTGTCGCCCTTACTCACGTCTCTGGTTCAACCCACCGGCCACTTTTCTACATAGCGCGAAACACTGGCTAGGTTACAGAAGCAGCTCTACGGTCATTCCCAGCGTGTGGTGGCCCCCCAAATCGACGTGCGTGTCTCAAACACCTCGATTCTCGTGCCTGTATCATCTCAAGTATTGTTTACAGCTCCCCTCACGTGCATCTACCCCATTCTTGCCCCAACCACCACAGCTGGCGGTGGTGGATCGCCTGACAAAGATGCAACAGCACATGCAAGAGGCCTATGCCCATTTCGTCTCGTCGGCTCAGACCACCCTGCGTAGGTGGCGCCACTGTCATACTTGAGCTCGAGGTTTGAGTCTTAATTTTAGCGAGACAAGTCAACTGATTGAGCCGCCGGCCCTTGACCTTAGATGCTCGCACGCAAGCCAAGCGGTCTGCTGCAGACGCACACCCCGCCGCCGCAGGTTGGTTCAGGCGCTATCAATGGGTCTAGCCAATTTCACTAAACAGTCTGGCTCGATGCTCAACTTGATGATACTGTCATGCTGGTGATAGACATGTCGACGCTCATTGGCGAGCTGCCGATTGAGGAGTAAAGTCCTGCCGATGCGAAGGACTATCTTGATTGCGAGCACGGCTCGTTGTCTTCTTGAGCGCTTGTCAGGCTGTGTGTGCTTGTATGCAGACTTCTGGTGGCTTTTTTTTAAAAAGAAAAAAAAGGGAAAAAGAAATCTGGGCGGCAACGTGCCAGTCTTGGGGCTTGCATAGGACACAGTCTTGCGAGATTGGTTTGACTGGTGCGCTCTCTTGCTCAAGCATGTGTTACTCTTGCCTTGAATATGGCTGCCGGCGTCTTGCACCGCTACCTCGGCTCGCCCATTGTTGAATGTACGTGCGCTTGTGCACGGCCCGGGCCCAGCACATGACCCGGAGTACTGTCGCTTGCGACCCTTGTGTGTTTTCTTCTTGTCTTCTGTTCCGACGCAGTGCTCTGTCGGATGTGTCTTACACAAACAAGCCAATGCATAACATGACAAACAGAGAAGCAAAAACATTCAAAAGAAGAAACAGTCGGCGAGAACGAGCTCCAATGGGGTTGAACGTCTCAATCTTCACCAAAGGGCCCACGCCGAGTGAGACAGCATCATGGCACAAGGACGGAAACAAAAAAGGGAAAACCGCTTGCGACACGGCACAAAACGCTGTTGCGTGGTGCCAGGTCCTGTGAAGCGAGCTTGTAGAGCTTGGGCTGACGTGGGAGATGGATTGTGGGGAAAAAAAGCAAAAGAAGAGCAGGGTGCCCGGACACACCACAGGCAGGTATTGTGTGTCAAGAAGCATGTCAACGGGATGCCTCAAGAAGATGCACGGCATCTCCTCGACCTGGGCGGAGACTGGCAGGCTTGTCAAGGAACGAATGTTTATCGAGGTGATCGGCGCATAGGGGAACGACGCATCGGGGGCGGGGAGCGGCTGTAGGAGCGACGGCCACCTGGGGTGCAAGAGTCACAAAAGTGTTTACATCAGAAAGTGGGCAGGGCGCGTCAGTCAGTGGGCGGATCAGAATGGGAAGGGCACGACGACATACGAGGCGAGGGTGATCGGCCACGGCGGTCATAGAAGCGATCAGAGCGACCATAGCGATCATCGCGGTCATAACGGCCGTAACGGTCATCACGGTCGTAGCGGTCACGGGCCCGATCGCGGTCGTAGCGGTCGTAACGGCCTCGGCCTCGATCGCGAAAGTCTTGGGTTCGTTCACCCATGTATTGGCCCGGGGTGGGGGTGTGGGCGCGCTTGGTCACGCTGAAGTCCACGCGAACATTGCGACCGTCGATGCGAGCGCCGTTGAGCTTCTCACGAGCCCGCTGGGCATCTTCATCGCTGACAAAGGTGACAAAGCCAAAGCCACGAGAGCGACCATTCTATGCAATGTGCATCAAAGAAAAAGAAACAGAATAAGAACGACGAAGGCAGTCAGGTCGACGTCAAGCCCGACGGGCAGAGGCGGCGAAGCAAAGCCGACCTGACGATCGTGGATGATAATGCACTTTTCCAGTTGGCCAAAATCACCAAAAATCGAGTCGAGCTGGCGCTCATCTGTATCACGCGAAAGACCAAAAACCCCGAGCACGTTGGATGGAGGGGGAGCCTCGCGCTCCGCAGCAGTGGCACGGCGTTCACCAAAGCGGCGATCATCAACAGGGGAACGGCTGCGTCGACGCATGGGTGGTGAACGGCTGCGTCCGCGCATGGGTGGCGAGCGGCTGCGGCTGCGGGGTCTGCACCGTTCAAAGGCCATTCAGTCAGACTCAACAGTCATGTTCGAGGGCAAGCATGGAAGAAGGCAAGCCAGGCCGAGACGCACCGACGGTCACGGCTATCGCGACGGTCACGGCTATCGCGACGGTCACGGCTATCGCGGCGGTCACGGCTGTCACGGCGGTCACTGCGCAGAATCAGAGTCCACCAAGCCAACAGTTTCATGAGCACAAGGGCAGACGGAAACAGAGAAAAAGGAGCAGCTTGGGCTCAAAATTCATCGTCAAAGCCGTTCGCACCGAGCATCATCGCCGTTGCGGGGTGCGGGCTCTCTGTGCGTGTGCGGAGGTACGAGAGAAGGTCGTGAGGTACCAACACCAACTGCCAGGCGCATTAATCGCACCGTCAAGCATGGGGGAGCAGTCTAGCACGTACGGTTCGTCGTCCGAGTAGCGCCCACGATCCTTGTCATCGGAATCGCGAAAGCGATCCGCTCGCTCGCGGCTCGCGGCGCGCTCCCGCTCGTCTTCAATGTCTCGGCTACTTATTCACCCACACCAGCCAACACCAAAGCGTCAGAACCAGACGTCACACCACCCTTTCAACCACGCCGGATACCACTGGACACCGGCATCTGCTGCTGCTGCCCTTCACATCGTCGTGGTGTGTTGAATCCGTACCGATCAGCCATGGCCGCCAGTGAGATGAAGAAGAAGAAAAAGAAAAAAAGAAAAAAAAAGAAAACACTTGGCAGCCAATAATTTGAAAAACATGTTGTCAACATCAGTTTTAAACCATTCTTGGATGGGAGAAAAAACACGGATCTGTTTTGTGGACATGGTATAAACTTGCTGACATTGTGGAAGACAGGTGTTTTGACCATATTCATAAGGTTGAGGTTTGAACCCCGGAAAGAAGTTTTGAATGGTCTTGCCCGAGAAAATACCGCTGAAACGCATTCAAAACTTCACCGCATGATAGCTGCAGTGAGCTCCACAGAGACAGCCTTTTTCTTTTTCCGTACTCGACCTTCATCATGGTATGTGTTGATGGTCGCGGGTCGTTTGGCGGTCCCAGCTGTGCTGGTGTTTGGCAGCGCCTGGCTCTTGAGAGAAGGGTGGACGCATTGAGATTTTGATGCCCGCCAGCTCGCGGCTGTCGGTGTGCAAGGGTCCTGCCCTGGGCATGGCTGCCCTTGGCACCGCTGGGCTTTTGAGGCAATCGGCGCGCTTTGTTGGGCTGCAGGCTGACAGCTCATGAGAAATCTTCTGGTCCTTGCCTGTGGCGGTGATGGTTGAATTTTATAGACGAAGAAGAGGCGTAATAACGGACGCAACAAGCACGGTCGCGGCCACAACCGCATCGTCCGTTGCGACAACTGCGCCCGCGCTGTGCCCAAGGTTTGTTTGAATAGAGCGGCCCGTCTCCACACACTTGCAAGCAGGGGCACCGCAGAGGCATTTATGCGGCTCGCCGAGCCATGTCACTGCGGGTCCCTGATTGGAGCTCGCCTACCTCTGAATGCCTCTTTATCGCGTGGAGCATGCGGAAAGCCACGTGTTTTTATGCTTGAGAGTATCTTGGTCCTGGTTGCGACTTATCGCGTGTCTTGTCACCCACCTTCAGGATAAGGCCGTCAAGCGCTTCTTGGTGAAGAACATCGTCGAGCAGGCCGCTGTCCGTGACCTGACGGAGGCGTCCGTTTACGACGGTGAGATTTGACTTGTGTCAACGCCGTCGTTGGAACTCGAATGGCTGCTGAGCGCAACGATGCTCTTGTGGACTCGATCTGAAGCCGCTTTGCCTCGTGTGTGTTCCGCGCATCTGTTCTCATTCATCTATTCATGTGCTGTTTTCTCCCTACATTTTTCGTTTCCACAGTCTACGTGCTGCCCAAGCTGTACCTGAAGATGCAGTACTGCATCTCGTGCGCCATCCACAGCAAGCAGGTCCGCAACCGATCTCGGGAGGGTCGCCGCGACCGCAGCCCCCCTCCTCGCTACCGTCCTCGTGCCCAGACGAGCGGTGGCAAGGACAGCAAGAACTAAGACGCCTGGTGTCGGGGTTTTCAAGCGATCTGTTGTTTGATGAAGCCGCACGCCCTTGCCCGTGCGCGGGGTGACACGGACAATTCAGGCGCCGGACGCTGTTAATCGGAATCACATTTGTCATCTCTTCTGCGCTGTTTTACCGTGTCGTTCGCAGATGGATCAGTTTGGTCGACACATTTTTCCACTCATGAGCGAGGACTGACTGGCCAGAGTGAGTCAGCGAGCATGGCCAAGCGAAGCATATTATTATAGTTTTCGAGAGATGTTTATTTGGAAAGCAAGTCTGCCTTCAAGTTGCATGTCGCTGCGATCTGGAATGTGAACATGTCCTGGGCAGGGTCACAGCAATCAGGGAAGGTTCAAACAATGGGTACCAAAAAAGGGTCATGTTCACCTTACTTGACCACAAAGGCATCAAGCGCTTGACCGTGCTTGTGCTACATGTTCTCCAACCCACGATACTTGAACTGCGGACGTGGACACACACACACAAACACACACACACACACACACACACACACACACACACACACACACACACAGAGACCCTTTCGCGCTCCATCTCTATCTCACACACAGAGGTGGCGCAAAGGGCAACCTGCCTCATTTTTTTGCTTTTCGCACAGGTGACGTTGCACTTGGGCCAGTCATCTGGGTTCTCATTCTTCTTCTTCACCAGTCAAGCGATCCTTGTTGTCGCATCGCTTTGACGGTGCCAGCCCAGTCTCAATACCCATACAATCTCCGCCACCTACCACAATGACCAGCGTGGAGGCGGTGGCGATGGCTTGCTGGAGCTGGCTGCCTCAAGTGGCTGCGAGCTACGTCGGGTACCTCATGGCGCTAGCCCTGTTGGGTCCGCGGCTGGGCTTTCAGCGCGCCCTCCTCTTCATGAATTGGCGTAGGTCACTGATCTGAGCTGAAGCGCAACATGGGCGCGACCCCCATGCTGTCCGCTCGATTGTGGCCTCACATCCTTGCCCCAGTGCGACCTCCTTGGCAGGATCTGCGTGTGGCTCGCTTCATCACTCCGACGCCGCAGCAAGCAGAGCCTGACGAAGATGTCACGATCGAAACACCAGATGGCCTCGCGCTAGCTGCCTGGTCAGTGTGCGCCACTGCCGCCCTATATCCTGCCATCTGTGGTGCTTTGGGCTTCGTGTACCTCTGACCTGCATCTGGGCTTGCGCCAGGTTTCTGCATGCTCCTGGTGGCCCCAATCGCCCATACATCCTCTTTCTTCACGGCAATGCGGTGCGTGCGTGCCCTGGCCGCGAGAGGCTCTTCCTGGGTACACATGAGACATGTTCAAGGAAGCACGTGCGCCGTTTCACGGTGCAGGACTCCCGAAGACCCCTCACCGGGAACGATGCTAACCCTAGGGCGATCGAAGCCTCCCCTATCGTGTTCGAGCCGTCCAAGTGCTGCGGCGCCACCTTGATGCCCATGTTCTCGCCATCGACTATCGTGGTGCGTTGGAAGGCCACTCCACTCGACCACCCTGATGCCGGCAGGCTCAGCCAGCTCAATAGCTTTGCTGGCCGTGTATGCCATTCGCATGATTGCTGCATGGACCAACGCTATTCTGGTTTGACTTAGGCTTTGGTTTGAATCCGGGAGCACCCTCCGAAGCCGGACTTGTTCAAGACGCTTAGTATGCCCTGTCCCCCTTTGTGTTGTTGCGGACCCCCAGTTCAGCTGCAGAGGAGGGTGACTCATGTCATTGTCGCTTGTCATGCGTAGTGCTGGCTACATCTGGCTTCGCGCGCGCGCGGCAGACCGAGCACCTTTGCACGTTGTCGGCCACTCTCTCGGCACAGGTTCGTAGAGGCCAGCCGCTGCGCGTGGATGCTTAAGCCATGTCCGCATGCTGACTTGCGCCAGTCGATGCTTTCGGTAGGCGTGGCCGCAGGCCTACTAGAGTATCTTGGGCAAGAGCATCAGCCCATGCCAGCCAGCATGGTTTCGTTGGCCCCATTCTGTAACATTCCCGATGTAGTCACAACCCATCCCATCGCGCTGGTGCGTCGAAGTACCCGTGGCCTGAGCGAATCCTCTTTCTCGCTTGTCGCGCTCTCCTGTTGATCACGTCGGTCACCAAACCTGGCTGATGCAGGGGGCGTACTGTGTTCCCGGACTCGTGCCGTACATAAGCGGATTGATCGCTGATCGCTTTGATAGTGAAACACGGTACGACTTTAAACATCAACACAAGCTGCACCTGTTCCATCTTTCTGCCACGTTCTTGCACGGGACCGCAACCCAGACCAACGTTTCAAGAAGCAAGGCGCAATAGAGAGGCTGGAAAGGGTCGACACAAAGTTCACTTCGATTAAGGAGCGACTGACGTCAGGGCTCAATCCGCGGGGCTCGGCCCCCTGGAGAGCAGATGACGTTTAGTTCTCTTACTTATTTACTGTCTGTCTGGCGTGGTCGATGCAAACGCATAATGCGTTGCGCCGCCTTTACAATGCACCCGTGTGAACACCTCCATAGGTTGGCTCGGGTGGTTCAAATGGACCAACAGATGCGCGTCCTGATTGTGCACGGCACCCTGGACCCAACGGTTCTCTATCGCCAAGGTGAGCGTCTGGCTCAAACAGCACCCGTACGCTCAATCTCGGGCTCGCCTGGCTCACAACACGCGCGGCCTGTGCGCTCACGGCTGCAGGTCGTCGGTTGTTTGACACCCTCAAGGCCCTGGCGCCCAAGCGCGTTACGATGGTGCGCCCTCGCCACACACTGCTGCTGATTCGGGTTCAAGGGCGATTCTCCTTCAGCTTCTCATGATTGATGTTGCAGGTCACGTTGCCTTGGGCTGGACACGTGCGACTCCACAGCAATCGCTGGGTGGGTTGGCCTTGTCCTCGACCACGTCGCACCTGCAGGTGATGGGCAGTTCATGATCCGCGCTCCTCTTGCCTCCCATAGGTGATGAAAGAGATGGCGAAGGCCATGGGGGTGGTCCCAGCCGAACTGGCAAATTCGGGGCTCTCCGAGTGGCGCATTCGCGTCGAGGCATAAGAGTCGCTGCTGACACCGCCCTGTGCAGCATCCGGTTGCCTTGACGGGCTTAAAATCTATAGTTTAGGAGGAGTCCTCGGTCGAGCTTGAGTGATCGGCATTATTGCTAACACGCATAAGCCGAGGCAAGGGCGGGACCAAAGTCGGTTCATCGGTGGGTTGAGGGGTTGTCATGACGATTTGAACCGTGGGTGCATCCCAGGCGACGCAAATGGCCGAGTCACCACTGCCCACGGATTTTAAAGAGGGACGGTCGGCCTGCTCATCGTTATGGAGTGACGTCTGTTGATGGCTCGTTGCCTCAGCCGTCACGTCATAAAGGGGTACAACAAACTGACGCCGACGTCGACCCATGAAGCGTGCGATGGCAAACCCTACCACGATGATCAGTGCGAGTGCTATGGCTGCTGCCAAGCCAATCAGCAAGATTTTGCTGATCAGGGTCATTGCATCGGCGTCCGTCCTATCGCTTGGTGCGGCAGTGGTACTGATGTTGCCATTGCTGCCATTGTTGCTGCTGCTCCACCACGTCGTCGTCGTCGTCGCGGTTGCCATGTCTGATTGGTGTTTGCTCTTGTCGTCGCTGGAGAAAAGTGTGAGGCTCTGGGCTCAAGAGAAGAAGAAGAAGAAGAAAAAAAAGAAGCTGCTCCTCATCTATCCAGCCATTCAGCCTCCGCCCCAGCTGCCAATCAGATAACGACAGAGCCCTGGGAGGGGTGACAGTCAGTCGGTTGGGGGCCGCTGGCGGTCCTTTCACATCAACAACCTGTCGTCAAGAAGAGGGAAGCAGAAATGCTCGAAAGGCACAACAACAACAACACCCACTGCCAAGTTGTCAGACAAATATATCTGCTGACAAGTACAAGTGATAGGTGTAACGTTCCTCACACTTTTGTTAAGTGTGATATCTGACATGGTGTGAGATTGCTTGAAAGCGGTGGCCACCACCATGAGGTTTGAACCTCTGGAACCTTTGGAACCGCTGGAAGTGGTTGTGCTCGTGGTGGGAGCGACACTTTTCTGCTTCCCGTGCGGTCAGGTACGACAGTCGTTCTGATTCATGTGCGAATGCGGCAGTGATGGTGGTGGTGGCCGGGCATGGCAGCCAGCATTCTCTACTCTCGCTTGAATGGTCGTAGAAAAAAAAGAATGATGGGCGTTTTGAGCACTCACCGCGATGCCGTTGATGCCCGTTTGTGCTCTCAGTTTGCCGTGTAGAACAAGCTACCGACTCGCCGTACAGCTCGATTTTTCCACCATCCAAAATGGCCACCGTTGTTGACAAGAAGGAGGGTTTTGAGGTTGAGGCCCAGAGCCACCGCATCCGCATCACCCTCACCAGCCGCAACGTCAAGTCGCTGGAGAAGGGTGAGTCACATTGCTTCTCAAAGTCGTGTCCCACGTGTTGTGAACTGCTTCAGTGCCTCGCCTCAAAACAATATTGTAACCACACCTTCGATCATCGACACTACCCTCGTTCTTACCTCAACCACCCGCCAACAAAACACGGGGTGGCTGTTATAAATGCGAGGCACACCACAACCTGCACTTACCAGGGCGAGTGTAGTTTTCCCACGGCACTCGCCTCAAATAATGTCAGGGAAACTTCTTTTCATCATCACACACTTGTTCCTTATGGGGCGTGGCACTGCGTGATCTGTGTGATTTGCCTGGGTGCTGTTGGCACTTGTCGCTTCAGCTCACACATGCCTCCGTTGTGCTTGCAGTTTGCGCTGCCCTCATCCAGGGTGCCAAGGACAACAAGGTCACCGCCAAGGGCCCCGTCCGCCTCCCCACCCGCAACCTCAAGATCACCACCCGTAAGACCCCCAACGGTGAGGGTTCCAAGACTTGGGATCGCTACACCATGTGCATCCACAAGCGCCTCATCGACCTCGAGTCGCCCGCTGAGGTGGTGAAGACCATCACTTCCATCTCCATCGAGCCTGGAGTGGATGTCGAGGTCACCATGGCCAACTAAAGCATTTGTTGCTTTCTTCCCCTTCTGTTCCCATTTTACCAAAAAAACAACAACAAAAGTGCCGAAGAAAAACAATCAAATGCGCTGGTCATCGTGATGAACAGCCCGAAAAAAACAGAATTTGTCATTTTCTCCTCGTTTCATGTTACATGATCTTGCGCGACGAAACAGCCGTTCTGAGGAAGGAAGCAATTCCAAGTACGGGGGAAATGAATGACTCAAGACTCTGCCTGAATTCACAGATTACTTTGATGGATTCGCACAGTCTTGTTGAAGTGTTGAAGTTCAATTTCCGGGTCATGAAAAACAAAGCAATCAGAAAGTCGTTGAGTACGCTGATGACGCTCTTTTTTTTTTTTTTTTTTTTTTACTCTTCCTTGCGGTCGCGTGAGCTACGTCGGTCGCCGTCGCGATCGCGATCATGGTCACGTGAGCGGCGTCGTCGATCATCACGGCCACCATCCCGCCGACGATCGTCGCTACGTCGGTCGCGTCGGTCATGGCGATCCTCCCGGTCTGGGTTGCGGTGGCGGCGCGCATGGTAGCGGGCCGGCAAGTCGCTTTGCATCCTGAAGGGGAAGAAAACAAGAACAAGAACAAGAACAAGAACAAAACAAAACAAAAAAATTGAGTGGCCGCTTCAGGCTTCTTCATAGGAGTAAAAGAGATGCACAGAGAGGAACGGGGGTGAGGCATTGGGCTGCTGGCCAACGCACCGGGTGCCGCGGTCCATGTACTCCTCTTCGTCGCGTGGTGGGGTACGGTAGCGGACAGCGCCGCGACCGCGAACGACACGACCGGAGGAGCCATGGCGTTCGCGCGGTCGTGGCATCAGTCGATCGTCCTGTCGGCGGTCGTCACGGGAATCATCTGGACGGCGATGGCCGTCGCGATCCTGGTCGCGACCGCCATCCCGGCGACCATCTCGATCACTCTTGCGGCGCGACGATGATTTCTTCCGATGCTTCTTGCTGCGTTTCTTGTCTGCAGCGGTTCAGAAAATGTGGGGATGACAGTGAGTCAGGGCGACCCTGTTTCGGGCCGAAGCGATCTGAAGCACTCGAGTTTTCGCCTCTTTCTCGCTTTTCCTCCGCCCACTGCCTCGTCTCCTTGCCGCTCTTGCATGGTCAACGCACCTTTGGAGGAGCCTTCGGCCTCGCTGTCACTACTGCTACTGCTGGAGCCCGAGGAACTGCTGCTGCTGCTGCTGCTGCTGCCACTGCTCGAGCCACTGGCGGAAGCTATTCCCAGCAGGCCATGCGATGAGTGTGGCACAAGAGTCTCTGAGCAGGCACCGTCAGCCGTACTCACCGCGTCGTGGCTTGACTGCAGATTTGCGAACCAATTCGCCACTTTTGACAATCACAATGTCACTGGAGAGGGGTCGCGGGCCAGGGTCAGGATGGGTCACCGTGCACAAAGCAGAGCTTGTCGTACAACATGACATGGTGAAGGCGCATCAGGAACAAGATAGACTGCATTCATCAACCCCATACCTCAGAGGAGCATCTGATTCACCCACGCGCGCCTCCTCGACGCGCCGGATCACGTCCTGACCGCGGATAACTCGACCAAACACCACGTGCTTGCTGCAGGCATGTTGCGATGGCCCGGGGTGAGCAAGCGGAATTGACTCGGTACGAAATAAAACCTGATATCCTTCAAATGCTAGCAACAAGACACGCTCCCCCGCTTCGTCCTCTCTCAAAGCTCAGGCAGCGCAAGCGGGCCCAAGTCGCCTTACCCATCCAAGTGCGGGGTCGGAACTGTGGTGCTGCGCATATGGACACAAAGAGACAATTCGTGAGGGTGCATATTGTGGTACAGGGGCGAAACGGGACGCTTCAAGGCACAGTGCGGTAGCCGGGGAGTAAACGCACATAAAAAACTGCGAGCCGTTGGTGTTGGGGCCTCGGTTAGCCATGGACAGCAAAAAGGGTTCCGTATGCTTGTGGATAAACTTTTCATCCTCAAAGGTGCCTAGCAAAGCCACATACAAGAAGTGAGGGGGATGTTTCAGAGCACGAGGGCCGCAGGGCACCACGCGCAAACCGGGTGGCCAAGTCATGCCGTACCACCATAGATTGACTCGCCGCCGCGGCCATCGCCTCGGGAGAAGTCGCCACCCTGGATCATAAAGTCCTTGATAACGCGATGAAACTTGCTGCCTTCATAGTGCAGGGGCTTGTTCGTCGTGGCACCAATGCCCTTGTTTCCCAGGCACAGGCAGCGAAAGTTCTCTGCCGTGCGCGGCGCTTCGCGCGCATAAAGTTCAAAAATCACTCGGCCCACTATCACCGCGAGAAGGGTGTTGAGGCAAAAGCAACGAGGTAGGTGAGAACACAGGATGCCCAAACTGGGCAAGAGGAAAGCGATAGACAGAACGGGCGGATGATACTGGATTGACCACGCACCTTCTTTACCACCGATGGCCAAATCGAAAAAGCAGCGAGGGTTGTCGTTCCCGCCCATCTTGACCAATTAAGGCTATGGAGCTTGGAACGCACGGAGATATGAATGGCTCACCGGATCGCCTGGGCAAATCAGCCCACCTCAATCCAATGCTACTCGCTTTGCTTCGCCTGAAAACAAGCACCGCACGACCAGTGCCTGCCCACGTCGCACGTTCACTCGTCCGCCTCCTTGCTGGCCGCCTCTAGTGTGCGACTCAGTGAAAAAACAAAAAAACAAAAAAACAAAAAAAAAACGTCTGCGCTCGTGGTGCGAGTCGAGAAAGTTTAATTTGGAGAGCTTTAATACACATTAGATCCTTCAAGTCGCTTCCAGTTGACAACAAGTGTTTCCTATAGGAAAAGTCCAAGACGTTGCTACCAAATGTTGTCAACGGTGCCTGTTGGTGTTAGTTTCTCGTTCCTGGTCTTCTCTCTCTCTTCGCCGAGTGAGTGCCGCCCCGATGGCAGTGACTGCCCCTGCTGTCGTCGTTGCCGTTGCCGTTGCCGTTGCCGTTGTGGCTGCCGTTGTTGCTCTTGGTGCTGTTGTTGATGCCGCGTCGGAGCGTGGTGGTGGAAAAACTTTGGGGAAATGCTGTTTGAGGTCGCAGTGTGATGATAACCCCCCCCCTTTTTTTTTTCTTTGAAACGTGACCGGTTTTGTGCACATCGACGTTGCAGTCTGCGCACCCTCTCATTATGCCTCACTATGCACGCCGTGCGCCACAGACCACTACAAAAGCACATCATGTGGGGTGCCTTGCGGGGAATCGCGCGCCAGGCGGCTGCGCCCAAGGGTAAGCTGCGCACATGCTTATTGTACATCCGCACAGGACCAAGACAAACTGCACTCATGTCTGCTTGGCGCTCAACTTGCTCGTCCAGGCGCACGTACGCTGCTCTCTGATCGCCTGCCAGAGGTCGGCAAGAGCGCCAAGAACGCGTCGCTGGTCAGTTGTTCTTGATAAAGAAAAAAATTGCTTTGCACGCCCAGCGGTCTGGCCGAGTGTAACACCTCTTCGCCTTCACCATCGCACCTCTATCACGTAGACTTATTGGTTTTTGGCTCCTGCTGCCGGCTTTCTGTTCGTCGAGCTGTTCGGTACGAACTCTACCGGCAGCGTTTTAACACAAATGCTGCACGATGATGGTAGCAGAAGCGCCAGCCCTCACTCAAACTTCATGTCTTGTAGCTTATCATGACAAGAAGGCCCCCCGCGAATGGTCGCACCTGAATGAGGACTCCACCGTGGTGCGTGTACATACCTGTCGCCTGCTTCCTTTCCAGTTTTTTTTTTGACACAACTGTCGACAGCAAAAACTTTTTGAGCGGCTTTGTTGACCCGTGCATGCTCGCTCGCTTTTGGTCCCGTAGTTCTCATGGGGTGTGCCCAAGGCACCCTTCTCCGAGGACGCCACCAAGCCTCGCAAGGTCCAGCAGGGTATCTGGGAGCGCTATATGGCCTCCCGCACCCCTAGCATTCAGGAAATGGACGATGCCCAGTCAGCCGTTGTCACTGCGCAACGTAACACGGCCGAGCAGACTCGCCTTCGTTACGCCAAGGATGGCACTTTCAAGCCCGATGGGTTCGTCCTGCTTCTTGCATGCTCCTGGTTTTCCTGTCCCGCCCCAAGTGGCATGGATCGCCGCCCGTCGAGCTCTCTCACTTTCTCCCCCACCACCTTGCTTGTGTCGGTTGGCCGCCTGTCCCTGTCCCCTTCCCACTCTTTTTAGCGAGCGCGCAACGCAATCAGATGCCATCACTCGCTATCTTTACAACTGAGTTGCTTCATTTCCGACAGCGCTGAATTGTTTTGTTGTTTCGTCTTGTTCCATGGCCAAGGACGTTGCCTCTGTCATCTTCTCGATTTTGAGGTCGCCTTTGCCGTCTAGTATGCCTTGCCCGTTGGTTGGATTGCCGACGAACGATTAACTCGCTTGGCCATTCTTTGCCTCTTCACTCCCCTGTACCCCACTGTTGCCCGGTACGGCTGCACTTTGTCCTGTGCTTCTCCCGAGGCATGGATGTGTGTGCTTGTGGCACGATTTGCATGGATCCTTTTTTTTTTTTTTCCCTTGTGAAAAAGGAAAAAGAAAAGAAACAGAAAAAAAAAAAAAAAATCAAATCGACTTGAAAAACTTGACAGCTTGATCTTTTCTTTCAACCTCGTCTGCCCGTGTCTTCTTTCAAACAAAGTAGAATGAGATGGGAGGCCGAGTCTTGCTCTGTCCTACTTAGACTTGGCTCGCTTGGTAGCAGGTTTGCCCTTGGTGGCCCGAGGGGCCTTTGCGCTAGAGCCTCGTTTGGCCCGAGCTGTAATTGCACAGCGCCCCGCACAGATGCTGGTGAGTAAGCAAAGCAGGCCGAAGCTTCATTGTCCAGGCGAGATGACGAGTTCGCCACATACCTGGCGCAGGCTTGGGCTTGGGCAATGCCTCGTCGTCCTCACTCTCAGCTTCACCGCCATCATCTTCTTCTCCCAACAGTTCGTCTGCCCCATCCCCACACGTGAGACACCACGGGAACAGGGCGAAGCAAACGCAAACAGACCCAAATATTGGACAAACAAGTCGTACCTGGAACCGATGCCCGGCGCCCTGCACGCTTGCCTTGAAACTGCGGGTTGTCATCCATACGCCATCATGGCGAGTCAAAAACACGATAGGGTTGTCAGTCAAGACGCAACGCTCGACTCGCGCACGAACCTCGTTGGTGTCATAAGGCAGCGCCTTGGCAGTCTTCTTCTGCTGGTTGGTAAACTTGCGTCGAACGGAGCCATCAATCTTGACCTCGGCTTGACCCTTGAGCTGAGCACCCAGGCAGCGCGCAACGCAGTTGAGCCTGAATGTCACGCTAAGCGGACGGAGCGCATGACTGACGCACCTGGTCCAACTCGTTGATCAAGTCAAAGTCTCCCCGGGTCAGAAAGTAAGCGTCCATCAGATTGATCACTTGATCGATCCCATCCTCCTCTACACATAGCGGCCGGGAATCACGGTGACAGCCATGCATGAGAGGTGTTGAACACAAAAGACAGAGTGATAGCAAGGCACAACCTACTCGCGTCGGCCAGAGGTTTGTTGAGACGCTGCCGGAGGTATGGAACATAGGCCAACCGGACGTCTCGACTGTCAGCGCTGATGGCCATCCGCATGTGCTGCTGCAGCTCACTCGTGTAACGCTTGAACTTGGACTGACTCGAGTACTTGCCCAACCACTGCCAATGCCCATGTGTCCAGATCATGTTCGAAAAGCAAGTCACTTGAGCCAAAGCAACCAGCCCGCGCGGCCCGTTCCCGTACATCTGGCCAGCCATGTCAATCACGTTTGCAGAGAGGGGCGTACCGAGGGAAATGTGTATTGGCCACCACCATACGGGGGGCGAAATTCGCCTTGAAAAGAGCCGCGAGACAGGTAGCCGGGCCTGCCGTGCAAAACAAAATGGGACCGTGTACCGTGTCAGATATGGCTCTCGTTGCGTCGTCGTACATCCTGTATCAGCTTGGTTTTTTTTTCACCTCCAGTGCACTGTCACACTTCAAGTCCCGACCCAAGCTTGCACGCCTCACCGAATGCACGATTGTACGGCCAGGACTGGGAGCGCTTTGTAGTTGCTCTGGGACATCATCACGGTGGAGAGCAAGTCAGACTCGGAGATGGCGTCTGCGGCTTGGCTCAAACGTGTCAGGTGCTCGACCGTCGAAACATCTGTGGAACGCAGGACCAGAAAGTGACTTGGCGGCGACGCCACAACGCACCGCCATGGCAGGACACAGTTTGGCAAAGGCTAGTCAGTCTGTTTGAGCGCCACCTACCCGAATCCTTATGCTTCAGATAGTTTTCCTGCACAAAGAGAGGCATGATGCTGTAGTCCACGAAAAAGGCATCGGTGAGCTCGTAAATATTGGGCCGCTCGCGACCCTTGAAGAATTTGTGAATAACATCAAAGGTGTTTTGCGCAATGTTCTTATGCGCCGCCTTGGCATTCGCCTTGACCTTGTCGGCCTGGGCCACGAGGTCAGGGTCGTCACGACTAAAGAGATACATGTTGTTCAAGACTTGGCGCATGTCACCATCGGCCGCTTCGACCATTTGTTGGACAATGATGGGATTGACTTTGAGGCCCTCGCGATGAGCCACGGTCATCATGGCACCCACGACCTGCTGTGCGCGGGGCCGTGAGAAGCGTAGGTTATAGCATTTGCCCTTGAGCGTCATGAGCTTGCGCGGAATGTCGTTGGCGATGCAAATGATGGGCATTTTGGTGGTGTTGATGAGCTTGATGATCTCACCAACGCCCCCACGATCCTCATTGCCGGCCATGCCATCCACTTCATCAAAAATGAGTGCCTGTCGGCATAGCGCCAAGCGGGGGTTGCATCGGGACCGGCAATGAGCTACTTTCGTAAGGTCCAGCACGCCCTTTGCAAAATCCTCACCGTTTTTTTCACGACGGCTTGCTGCCCTTGTTGATAGAACTGGGTCATGGTCTTGTTACCCGTCAACGCACCAATCTGCAGGTTTAACGTGCCAGGATCAAGAGGTTATCATGGTTAATCCGTGCCGGTCCAGCAACGTACGCGCACAGCGCGCGTAAGGGGGTAAATGCGTGCGAACAGTGCCGGGGCTGCCGAAAACGTACCTTCTCGTGCAAAAGACCGCGATTGCGGACATCACTGGCGTTCAGCTCGATAGGCTATGTGGGCACGGCCAGAGTTGCGTGACGCAAGAGATGAACATGATCATTTCTTCTCTGCTTTTATTGGCTCGTAATTGAGCCATGGTCGAAACCCACCTCGTAGCCGCATTCACGGCAGACCACCGTGGCAGTAGTTGTTTTGCCCACACCGGGAGGCCCGACCATGAGAACGGCCTGAAACTCAAAGCCGTGGTCGCTCTCTGGGATCCAACATCGCAACACACCCACGTGAATATTCGGGTGTGAACCCGCGCACCAACCATGCAGCTAACATCATGCATCAAAAGGCGTACTTGGTGGGAGCTTGGCGGGTTTCTTCTTGAGATTATCTTGCCACTTTTCAAGCCAAGTCTGAGGTCCAGTGCAAGCCCGCTTGGTGAGATCCTTGCCTTTGATTGACTACTCGAATCAGCGCAAGGTATGCGCGGCAGGGCCGTGGGGGCAGAGAAGAAATCCAAAAGGGCTGAACACACCCGCAGCTTGTTGGCATTTGACTTGGGGCCATGTTGCCCAATGATCTTGGTCGAGCTTTGGGGTGCGTATTTGTCTACCCACAACGCGCCAACCTCATTTGTTGCGCTACAGGTCAAACAGGTTGAGGCGACTGGTAAGGTGCAGGTCTCGTGGGCTGTTTAAGCGTGAGGCAGCGATTGATGAAGCCGTTTAATAATACCGAGGGGGCATGGCACGCGGCGTGGTAGAGGCGGGAGCTGGGGCCTGTGATTTTGACGCGCTGTGTGCGGCTCCAGCTAACCACCATTCGGGACTGTGAATACATTGGCAATGACAAAGAATCCGATCGTCGACCCACGGTCGCCAGGATGACGCACCAGAGCTGACGGGCTTTGTCGGCGCGGCCTTGGATCCGGTGACTTTCTTGGCCGGTGAAGCCTTTTTAGCAGCGCTTTTAGGTTCTTCTGTGTGCCAGAATAGAGTTGTTGGCGAGATGAATGTAATCAGGCCCGGCCACTCATGAGGGGCGATGAGGCTGGTTCGGGTGCAAGGTGTGCAAGGCAACAAACCAAACGCCTGGGCCGGGCGGGTGCGGATGAGCTCGAAAAGGCCATCTTCATCGAGGACCTTGAGCTTGAGATCTCGGGCCTTGGACATTTTTGAGGGTCCTAATCAGCATCCACGTCTGGTTGTAAGAGATGCGGCGCCTTCATTCATCTGCTTCGATATCAAGCATGGGCATGCGAGAATGCCGATGCAAACTAGCCTACCTGGTTCATCACCAGCGACCACGTAGTCGACGCGCTTAGAAACGCTCTTCTGGATCACTCCGCCGTGGTCTTTGACCAGCTCTTCTGCCTACACGGGCCAGCCAGCGCGAAGCACGTTGGTGAAATAGGTTTGGGGTCACGCGATTGGCAGAGCAAGGCATTTTGTCTCAATGTGGAGGGTACAAGAGTAGGCCGGATTGCGCGCAGGGAGGGCGCAGATACGTACATCCTCGCGCTCAAGTGATTCCAAAACTCCAGTGATGACAAATTTGAGGCCACCGAGACAGTTGAGAGCACCTGAGGCAGACACGCGTGAGTAAGCTGCAAGACACAGGCGGCAGCCGGAGGGGGGACGCGGATCAAACCTTTGGGCACCTCCTTCTGGCCCAGGTTGCGGGGTTGCAAGTTCTGACGGCGCTTAAAGTCGGCATAGTTGAACTTGGGCTTGGCCTCAGCCTGATTATCCGCCTCGGGCTCAGCCTTGGGCTTGGCAGGGGCCACTTCTTCGGTACGGGTTTTTTTGGGTGCGGCTGCTCCAGACTGGCAAGCGGGAAGTGTGAAATCACATGCTCTCGTTTGCACACATGTTTCAAAACATGTGGGTCAGCAGGTGATGCAGATGGCCCACGAGCGAGGACGTACTGTACTGGGTTGACTGTGGGCTTTGACTGGGCTGGCCTTGGTTTGCTTCTGGCCGAGGGGCGTGGGAGGATACACGGGTTGAGAGCACGAAGCTACGTGTCAATCATGTGAGATCAAGGCACGCGCCGCTTGGCTTACCTGCGGTGGTGGCACGGCCTTGGCTGCAGATTTAACGCCCGAGAAGCTTGGGGCTGCAGCCTATTGGAACGCCGCTTGCGAGTGAGTGGACGGCTGGAGGTTTGGGAGGTCGCGGCCTGGCTCGTACAGACAGAGGGGCATCGAGCGAAGTGAGCAAGAACATGACCTTGCTGGTTGATTTGGCCGACTTGGGCGGTGGGGCTTCTTGCTCTGCTTCCTGCTTCATTGCTTCCTCAAGAAGCTGGGCAGCCATGTCGTTGTCAACAAAATCATCTCCATCATCATCATCCTGGGCGCGGGCAAGGTACAGCGCACATTAGGCCGGGTCGTATGTGCTCGGTTTGAGTGCAGGATGAGGCAGGGGGATGAAAGACGTTAAACTAACCAGGACGATGGGCTCGCGTTTCTGTTGGATCGGGGGGAAGAAGACGGAAGGAGTTTGGAGAGGAGAAGGCAATGAGGAGGAGAGAGACGACTTCATTAACGGTACGGGTTGAGGGGAGTAGGTTGGTCGCACCTTCAGCTTGGGCGGCTCGCTCTGTGGTTTGTTGAAGTAGTGGCTGGGCGATTCCTAAACAGGGCGTGCACCCACGTTGGTGAGCAAACACGCTTTGAAAGAAAATGGTCTATCGCAAAAGACCTGCTGGGGTACAGAAGCGGATGCGCTTTCCCTGGCCCCCGATCCGTTGGCCAGCCAAACTGAGCTCACCTCTTGAGAAAGATTGCGGTTTGTCGCATGTGGCACGATAGGAAGGAGAGATGCGAGCATCGACACCATGAGTTGAAATGCAGATTAATGCGCCAACAGCAGTTTGCTTTGCGGCATGAGCCCTGGTGTGAGATGACGCACACCTGCCCACGTACCAATGACTTTCTTGTCCGGTTTGTTTCCGGCGGGCTTGCCGGCCGCAGTTGGAGCCTTGGCCGGCGCCGCGGGCTTCTAAAGAGAAAGAAGAAGGCCCGGAGTGAGCAAAAACGTGGCTCTACAACGAGAGCGTGGTTCTTGCGTTGTAAAAAGGAAGGCACTCTGAGCAGCCCAGTGAGCGCGGTAACGAGGCACGCACAATTTTGCTCTTTGGTTTGGCAGTGAAGAAGGAGGCAATGGAGTTTTGCCTCGCCGCCTTGCCCGCCTTGGCGGGCGAGCGCTTCGCAGCTGATGTCTTGCCCTTTTTAGCGCCGTCCATGCTGGTGGCCACCCTGTTATCCCCCCAACACCTCCGACAAACAAGGCCAAGAAGAGGGTATCACGACGTGCGCTCACGCTGCCCACGGGTGCTCCTGCTCGCGCGCAGTCCTGGTCAGCAACGATCAGTGTGAGTGAGCGCGCGAGTGACGGAACGCGCGCTGAGGAAGATGACCGTTACACCAGGACGACCCACGTTTACGTCGCCAAATCAAGACTTTGTGTAGATTATATATTAAGTCCAGTTATACTTATGGTCGGTCATTTCATAGTTTGTGTAGATGGAGGTCAGCTCACTTACAACAGTTAATTTTGCTGACAATGACTCGCTACCACATTGACACACACACACACACACACACTCACTCTCTCTCTCTCTCTCTCTCTCTCTCTCTCTCTCTCTCTCTCTCTCTCTCTCTCTCTCTCTCTCTCTCTCTCTCTCTCGCTCGCTCTCTGTCACGCACTTGCTGTTCAGCGCGCATGGGCTCGGGCGGGGTAGTAGATCTGGGATAGTGTGCGACGGGTGGGATAGTGTTCAGCACAATTATCGAGGGGGTGGTTGATGCTGTGGTGGTGGCGGAGCAGTGGGAAAGATAGTGTGTACGTTGCAGTGTTTTGGCGTCGTTCAAACGCGCTGTAGGCGTGTTACAACCACGTGGCTGCCGAAAACGTTGGAACGACGGCCGTCAGCCGGGACTTTCACCCGGACCAGGCAGGATGATTTTCTGTCCACTTTGCGGCAACATGCTGATCATGCAATCTTCGCTGCATGGCTACTTTTTTGGCTGCAACACGTGTCCCTACAAGCATGAGCTCGGCGAACACGTAAGCCCCCTTGCACTTTTGCGCACGTCCGAGCACCCTTGTGTTTCCCGCGCGTGCATGTGTGGCACTTGGCTCACATGGACCATGGCTTTTCTACGACATTGGGCATGGATAGCGGGTGACTGCGCGACGCAGCATGCACCACGATGAGCGGGCGGACGAAATTTATGGCGGCGATTCAGCCAAGGAGATGATGGACATGACTGAAGGTAGGAGGCTTGGCTGGCGAGATGACCATTGTGCCCCTGCCGGCTTGTAAGCGATGGATGTTGACTCACATTTCCATGATCACTTTGACCTGTGTAGCGGACTGCCCCAAGTGCCATCACAATCGCGCCAGCTACGTGCAGCAACAGACGCGATCGGCAGACGAGCCCAGCACCGTATTTTACTGCTGTGAAAAGTGCAACCACAAGTGGAATGATGGCTCATAGCAAGCTTCGCACAGACCAGCCTTACCGGGCCTCTCCCTGGTGCCCCGAGCCACCGTGCAGCGTCTGCGCTCGCCGCTCCTGTTCTATTCTGTTTTGACCATGATAATCGCATCAACCTTCAGTTTTTTTTTTTTTATCTTTTTCTCTTGTTTCTGGTTTGAGTCAATTCGAGACATCACCCTCATCCGCCATCACAAAAGCCTCAACCCCACCTGCAACCGACCCGCCGCCCAAAGATCCCCCATACGAGGCGCCCCTGGGAAGACACGAGCCCATTCCGCGCGACACACACACACACACACACACACACACACACACACCACACACACACACACACAAAAGCACACAAAGCCAAATTTTGAATATCTTCACCTCTTTCGCGCCCTGTTATGTCCTTCAATTCGAAAGCCAGTTCAGCACACACACACACACACACACACACTCTCTCTCTCTCTCTCTCTCTCTCTCTCTCTCTCTCTCTCTCTCTCTCTCTCTCTCTCTCTCTCTCTCTCTCTCTCTCTCTCTCTCTCTCTCTCTCTCTCTCTCTCTCTCTCTCTCTCTCTCTCT